AAGCCAGGTGCTCTAGAACATTGCAGAGGGCTCAATCGGACTCATCCTGAAGTCCACACATGCTAGATCCTCCGCTAACTCAGGAGAACCCTAGAGGTGCTCAGGGTCTTGGCCTGAACAAGATGACCCTCTGCATGGTACATAACCCGCAAGATATACCCGCCAGGCAATGGGGACTGACTCAGCCAAACAATACCTACATGGAATTCAAACACAGACAAATGTGTGGTGGGAAGCTCGAGGCCTCCAGAGACATGGGCGGTGGGGGAGGGAATTGCTGAGGCCTTTACTGTTGGCCAAGCTCACTATCATCTTTTCTTTCTTTCAAGTGCAGGGGCCGGGGTCAGACAGGACGGATCCCAGTGTCTTCCCACTCTGCCATTGGAAAGAGGAGGCCTCTCCCCCATCACCCATCATGTTGCAGATCTGGGGTATGGAAAACTACCACCCATGGGCCCGATGGGACCCCCCCCCCATATTCTTTCAATCCAGTGCGGCTGGAGCATTAGTTATGGACCGTCTGTGGCTGCTTTCAAGCCACAATGCCAGAGTGGATGGAGTCATTGTCAGAGACACCACGTGGACTGCAACACCTAAGGGAAAATCTTTACAGAAGACTTTCCAGAAAAGTCTGTGCCTATCCCTGGTCTCAAGGACCCTAGGATCATGTCCCTTCTTTGAGTAGATCATAACGCCTTCTGGGTCAAATCTAAGTTCTTCACCCCCAGAGGCAAGGACTTCCATCCTTTTAGCCACAACACCATCTCCATCCTCCTCTACTGACACCTTGAATGGCACATCTATTCAGGTCTCCAGCCCAATGGGAATTCACTGTCGTTTCCATGTAGTGATGCTTAGAAATAGAGGTATAAGTGTGAACTTGTGAGGGTAAGTGTGCGTTTCCTCTTTGGTAGCCACAGTGTGCAAGGATAATACAATACAGCAGCACGCTTTCTGTCCCACAGGAACAGCCACCCAATGTGGTTCCATAGTAGTGATCTCAGAAGGAAGCCGCTTTCGTAGAATAATATTAATCTGGGAGAACTCCCAAATCCCTTGCCCTGGACACTAGGTTCTACCAAGGCAGGGGGCACACAGAGGGACAGAGACTCCCCCTGCCCATCAGGGTTTTGAGGGATGCCTGCTATTTCAGGACAAAAGTGCCAAAACCATTCATCCACCTGTCATCCAGCCAGGCATCTGTGAGAGAGATCTACTCCAAGCAAAAAGAACAGATTGAGAGACAAAAATGACAGCCTCGTGTTATAAGTGCCATGACAAGGGACACTCAGGAAGACTGGGAGTGTGCTAGGAGGACTGGGAATCCTCAGGATCGCCTCCAAACGCAGACCAAGACTTTCTTCTACTCAGTTCTCCATGGAGCCCACCTCAGCACTGGCAGATGGGACTACCATACCCATAGGCCCGAACCCTAACCTGGGTGTGGTTCTCAGTCTTCCGTCCCCAGAGGCCTGGACCCCAAGCCCCCCAATAGGGGACCCCCGAGCCACACACCAGGAGTTCGCCTACCACCCAGGAGGAAACTGTGCCCTTTGGAGCTGCAGAGAACCCTCAAAGCATAGAAACCTGCATGTACCCCTGATGCAACCCCCATAATTTGTGGCCCCCTGGACCACAAACCTGGACTTGATGCCCCTTCTGCATCCCGCCCTCCACTCGGCCCCTCAGGGATCCTGCCACAGCACCAACAGGTAGGGCCTGCCACGCACGGAGGCCCAAACCCTAACTCTAGTTTGGGTTGTCAATCTTCCATCCCAAGAGGCCTAGTCCTCTGATCCCTCCAGATTGGGGACCCCTGGCCTGCCACCCAGGAGAAGGCCGTAACACTGGGAGCTGTGCAAAACCCTCAGAGTGGGAGATACCTGCATGCCCCCTTCAGGCCACCCCCACCTTCTGCACCACCCTGGGCTACAAACCAAGAGCCGGAGGCTCAGCCTCTCCCCCTCCCTCACTTCTGCCCCTGGGGAGCTTGCCTCCCTGGCTGCCATCAGAGAAGCTGCCTGGACCTGGACCACGGTCCTACATGTCCCAAACACGCACCTAGTGAGAAAGCGCTCCCAGCAGGCACAAGCGTGAGGCCCGAATCACCGCCTATAGCGCCGGCCAATTCTCACGAGCTTTCTGCCCAAATTGACATTGATTTGGGCAGAAAGCTCGTAAGAATTGGCCGGAAAGCCCTGGCAAACACACTTCCGGCAGCGGGGGTCTTCTGGGGAGCCACCTGGGAAAGGACCAGGGTCCCACATTGTGTCACCTGAAGCCTGTGAGAAAGCTCTCTACACCCCGGGTGCCCATGCTGCCCGGGTCACCTCGGAATGCCAGCCCAACTCGCCCTCTACTCAGCACCCCAGGGAGCCCGCCCCACACCGGCAGGTGGGGCCTGCCATGCCCCCTAACCCAGGGTTGGGTTCTCAGCCTTCCCTCCCCCGAGGCCTGACCCTCAAGCCCTCCAGACTGGGAACCCTTGAGCCATAACCGCAGGACTCCACCTGCCACCTAGGAGGAAACCGTGCCCTTGGGAGCTGCGGGAAACACTCAGAGCGAGAGGAACCTGCAAGCCCACCTCAGGCCACCCTCACCTTCGGCGCACCCTTTTGCCAAAAATAGCCGGAGCCTGATGCTTATGCTCAAACCCTACCTTAACTCTGCCCCCAGGGAGCTTTCCTCCGCAGGGCCCTCAGGGAGCCGCATGGGCCCAGCTCGCAGTCCCACAGGGTCCCAACACGCACCCAGCGAGAAAGCACTCCCACCACAGGGCCCTCTCACGGTCTGAATCACCGCCCAGTGCCGGCCAATTCTCACGAGCTTTCTGCCCACATCGGTGTTGATTTGAGCAGAAAGCTCGTGAGAATTGGCCTGAAAGCCCTGGCGAGCTCAATTCCAGTGGCGGGGGCCTCCGGGGGAGCCGCCTGGGCCTGGCCTGGGGTCCCGCATGGTGTTGTCTAAAGCCTGTGAGAAAGTGCTCTAAACGGTCCAAATGCCGGCCCAACCCACCCTCTACTCAGCCCTGCCATGCCCTAGGCCCGAACCCTAATCCTCGGTTGGGTTTTCAGGCTTCCGTCCTCTGAGGCCTGGCCCTCAAGCTCTCCAGATTGGGGAACCCTGAGCCATAACGCAGGACTCCGCCTTTACTGCCAACACTTGGCCGGCAGGGCCTTAGTTGTGGGGAGAGCCATGTAGCCAGGGCTCCCTGGCGGGGGCCTGGGTATCTCCTCTAGACTTAGCTGGATTTGTGACTCAGGGAGAGACCATACTCTTGGGCCAGGGGGAAATGGGTAGGTTTTCTGGTCTCTGGTTGGGTCTTAAAATCTCCAACCTTGCCCCAGCCTCCCTCTTCCTGTCAATTGTATGAAGCTCCTGGGGCCCCTTGGGAGGTGACTTCCTGCCTCAGGCCCCCTGCCCACTTGCCTGCCCACACAGACTCCCAGGGGGATCCCTCTTTTTGCCTTGCTGAGGGAGCAGCAGACACCACAGGACAGCCGCTAATGCCGCTAGCACTCACTGACCTCACTCTGTGCCTGGCTGTCTGCTGGGCTCAGGATCCAGGCCATCTAGGGAGATGCCTGCTGGCAGGCTCTTAGGTAAGTGGGAGAGACAGGAGTTGGGAATAACAGGGTGGCAGATGGTGCAGGATCTCAGCATCTGGCAAGGGACAGGCAGAGGAAGAGCACAGGCCGCAGTTCCTCTGGGCCTGGCACTTCATGTGCAAGACCACATGCTTATCCCGGCAGGACAGCAGTTGCTCAAGTCATGTTTGTCACTTGGTGTTTGGCCTTGGGCAGGTTACTTAATGTTTCTGAGCCTCGATTTCCTCATCATTGAAATGGCAATGAGAATGCAAAGGACAGGGTGTCCGGCTGCCGGAGCTTGAGGCTTCCCAGGCCACAAGGGACACAAAGTCAGGTGGAAAGGCCCTTGGAAAAGACTTCCTGCCCACACCCCGTATGTGACCCCAAACGGTATTGCTCAGCCTGGTTACCCATGCCTTCCTAAAGGTGGCATTGAATGAGTGACAAGAGGCTGTCCCCAGAATTCAGACACACACTCAGAGCCCCAACGGTAGTCTCCAGCAAGGTGAGGCAAAAATAAATAAATAAATAGGTGCCTAGCCGGAAGCAAAGTTTCAAAAGAGCATGTGAGCTCTCCAGGGACCCACTAGGGGCATGCCACCCACACTCATATGACTGGGCTGTGCGTGAGGACGGGTTCACTGGTGGGGCCCTTGTTCTCAGTGTTGGGTGGTCAAGAGGGGCCTCCCAGGGAAAGAGGAAGCCCAGAGCTCAAGTGGCACAGTGGTAAGGGTTTCTCTGGAGGCACTGGGCTGAGGGGAGGTGGAGGCCAGAACAGGTCACCTTGAGTGCAGGGCTGAGGAGCCCAGGCTACAGCCCTGGGCATGGGGGGAGTTGGAGGGGTTGGTATGGGGTTGGTGGAAAGGACCACAGTGGGCCCTGTGGGGCAGTGGTTCAACGGGGAGCTAAGAGTCTGGTAATGGACAGGGACTGTGAAGACAGAGGGAAGCAGGAGAATATTAGAAATATTTCCAAGATAAAGACAAGCAGAGAGGCGCTGAGAGGGTACCAACCAGGGCTCAAGAGTAGGAAAGCAAGGAGCTGGCCAGTCTGACTAGAGGAGGTCCTTGGGCAGGGACCAGGTTGCAGGAATGTCAGGTGCCAGGGTGTACGGCTGCCCTGCACAGAGGAGAGCTTGGAGCTTCTGAATCACAGCCAGCTGACCCAGGTGCAGGCAGAGGTCAGGTGCCCTCCGGTGGTCTGAAGCCCCTGCTGGGCACAGGTGGGCACCTTGAGCCGGCAGGACCCCAAGGAAGAAGTATGTGATGTCCCCACCCCCTATCTGAGCTCCTTTACTGAAGACGGGCTCCCCTCCCCGCCCCCAGCCCTGCAGCTGTCTCTCTGGACAGAGGGAGGGGGAAGTGGCCAGAAGGGGAAGTGTGAGGAGTTCCCCTCCAGCCTGTCACCAGTCTCCTCAGGCCCTCGGAGTGGCAGTCCTGGGGCCTGGCAGCGGCCATGGAGCCTCTGGAGACTCCCGTCAAGGATGGCATCCTCTACCAGCAGCACGTCAAATTCGGCAAGGTGGGGACCCTGGCTTCCAGGAGCTGCCCAGGACAGTAGGCATGGGCCCCAGCCTCGGCCCACCCGGAGCTGGGAGAATGGGGAAGGGAGTCGGTGGGGGACCCAACCAAGGTGCTGGGGAGTAGAACAGAGCCCCATTCTCAGCTTGAGAGGGTTGGGCTAAGTGGGCCTTTTTGAGAGCCTGCCCTGTTTACCTATGGGGAAGCCAAGAGTCCAGAGGATCTGAGAATCCCAGTGGTGGGGCAGGGCCGAGCTGAGAGGTCGGATGACCCAGCAGCCTTCAGCCTTGTGGCCCCTGTAGAGAAGGCCCACCCTGCAGAAGACGGCTCAGCTCCTCCCAGCCCTGTTACCGGCCACAGCTGGGGAGTTCACTTCTCTCCCCGGGCAGCAGGCCCCACGCCCTCACTGCTCGGCTGCCGCTGCTGCCCAGAGAGATAAACAGTCTGTTTCCTTTGCTTGACACTATTTGCATGTTTCCTTCCTCACCATCGTGAGCCTGAGGCCTCCCTCCTGCCTCAGCCCTTGTCCCATGGCCCAGGTGAACTTTTCTTCATGGAGATGGCATAGGGGGCACCAACGTAAAGGTAGTGTCAGGTGGTCTGCTTGAACCGCGTCAGAGTCACAATCCAGTAGAAGCCCCAACCTTGCCTTCCCATGGCTTCTGAGATATGACGGCACTAGTGCTCATAGGAGTCCCAGTGAGGCAATTGGTGGTGTGGATTTGAACCCACAGCTGACCAGCCCCAAGCACGGACTCTTCCCCCTGCTCCTCTGGCCCTGGCAGGGCCTCCTCCTCTAGGGCCCTGAGGATCTGGGGGAAGCAGAGGCCAGGCGGGTGGCCAGGAGCCCTTGCTGGTGCTAAGCTGAACTACAGGGAGAACCACCACCCAAGTGTCTTTCCCCCATCCTCGTCTCCCACAGAAGTCCTGGCGGAAGGTATGGGGTCTGCTGTATGCAGGAAGCCCATCAGGTGTGGCACGGCTGGAGAGCTGGGAGGTCCGGGAAGGTGGCCTGGGGCCAGCAGGGGACAGGCCTACAGGACCCAGCCGGCGTGGGGAACGGCGAGTCATCCGCCTGGCAGACTGCGTGTCTGTGCTGCCGGCTGACGGCGAGAGCTGCCCCAAGGACACCAGCGCCTTCCTGCTCACCACCACAGAGCGAAGCCACCTACTGGCCGCACAGCATCGCCAGGAATGGATGGGCCCCATCTGCCAGCTGGCCTTCCAGGTGAGCATAAGGTGGGTGGGCAGGGCATCCAGAGGCCAGAGGTGGGCCACCTGACCTTGTTCACCTCTATGCTCACTCACACCCTGTCACTCAGCAAGCACCTGCCAAGCACCCACAAGCCTTTGGGGAAATAGCCCCAAAGTCCCCAAAATGAATCTCAGATGGCTATTAATGCTGTGGAGAAAATGAAAGGGTGGTGGGACCAGACGTGAATGGCAGGATGTTAGATGGGAAGACCTCTCAGCAAGGGACAGTGAGCCGAGTCCTCAAGGACAAATAAGAACCCATCAGGCAAAGATCTGAGGCAAGAGTGATCCAGACACTGAGGTCTGAGGAGTGTCTTGAACAGAAGGAGCAGCATGGGCAAAGACCCTGTGGCATGGGAAAGTTTGGTGTGTTAAAGGGGCAGAAAGGCCATCGTGGCTGGAGGGTAAGTAGTGGGAGGGAGCCCAAGAGAAGGCAAAGATGGAGAATTTGGTGGGAGCCAGCTGGAACTACTTTGGGATACATGCAGAGTTTAGGGTGAGTGAGAAAGATGCCTTTGGCGGGGGGAGGTTCTTTGGGGAGACAGGGACTGAGAGCTTTAAAGCTTTACAGGGTCGGGGCGCCTGGGTGGCTCAGTGGGTTAAAGCCTCTGCCTTCGGCTCAGGTCATGATCCCAGGGTCCTGGGATCGGGCTCTCTGCTCAGTGGGGAGCCTGCTTCCCTCTCTGTCTCTGCCTACTTGTGATCTCTGTCTGTCAAATAAATAAATAAAATCGTTTTAAAAAAAAAAAAAAAGCTTCACAGGGTCCATGATGGACCAAAAGGAAATGAGCCTAGCAGTTCCTCAAAAAGTTAAACATAGAGTTAGCATATGACCCAGCAATTCCACTCGTAGGTGTATACCCAAGAGAATTGAAGCAGGTGTTCCAACAGAACTTGTATGAGAATGCCCAGCGCAGCAGCATTCGCAACAGCCACAGGTGCAGACGACCTCAATGTCTGCTAACTGATACACCCAATATAAGCTAGCCGCACAACAGAATACTACCCGACCATTAAAAAAACAAAAAACAACAAACAGGGACGCCTGGGTGGCTCAGTTGGTTAAGCGGCTGCCTTCGGCTCAGGTCATGATCCCAGCGTCCTGGGATTGAGTCCCACATCGGGCTCCTTGCTTGGCAGGGAGCCTGCTTCTCCCTCTGCCTCTACCTGCCACTCTGTCTGCCTGTGCTCGCTCTTGCTTCTCTCTCTATGTCAAATAAATAAATAAAATATTAAAAAACAACAACAACAAACAAACAAAAAAGAATGAGGTAGTGATACATGCTAACATCATAAATGAACCTGGAGAACATCATGCTAAATAAAGGGGACCAGACACAAAAGACCACACATTGAGTATCCTTCTATGTATGTGAAACACATTGGAATAGGCCAATCCATAGGGACAGAAAGTAGCTTAGTGGTCGCCAGGGGCTGGGGAGGGTGAGGAGTGACTACTAATAGGTTTCCATGTGGAATGATGAAAAATTCTGGAACTAGACACGCCTGGGTGCTTCAGTCAGTTGAGCATCTGCCTTCAGCTCAGGTCATGATCCCGGGGTCCTGGGATCAAGTCCCATGTCGGGCTCCCTGTTCAGCAAAGAGCCTGCTTCTCCCTCTCTCTCTGCCTGCTGCTCCCGCTGCTTGTCCTCTTTCTCTCTTGCTGTGTCAAATAAGTAAATAAAATCTTAAAAGAAAAAAAATCCTGGAACTAAGTAAAGGTGACCATTACACAATCTTGTGATATACTAAAACCACTGAATTATACACTTTAAAATGGTGAAATGGTAAATTTTATGTTGTGTATTTTACCACAATATTTTTTTAAAGATGTTATTTATTTGACAGACGGAGAGGGAGGGAGCATGAGCAGAGAAAGGGGCAGGGAGAGAGAGAGAAGCAGGCTCTCCGCTGAGTAGGGACCCTGATGTGGGACTCGATCCCAGGACTCTGGGATCATGACTTGAGCTGGAGGCAGACACTTAACCGACTGAGCCACCCAGGCACCCCTATCACCATATATTAAGGTAAAAGCCAAAAAAAAAAAAAAAAAAAGGAAATGGACAAAAGCAAGGAGACCAGTGAGGAAGCTGTTGCATGTGACCAGGGCTGTGCTACTGTGGGCCACGGTGGTTGTGGTGGAGGTGCTGACAGAGCTCAGAGGATACGAGGGAAGCTGGTAAAAATGGCCTGGAGAAGCCTGGAGAAGCCAGTTCACTCACAGGTGCCACCCCTGAAGCTCCTGCCCCTTGATCACTCCAAGCTGTTAGGGACACACACAGGCAGACCCAGTCCCTGGCCAAGTACAAGTGCAGTGGGGACCTTCTCATGTGTCACTTACTTTACAACTCTCAGCACCCTCAAGGGGGCGCCTGGGGGGCTGCAGGTGGGGAAACAGAGGGGTCCCCAGGGTGGCACAGTGTGTCAGGAACAGAGCTGGAAGTGGCACCCTGGTCCCTGGATGTTCTCGCTTGGCCTGAAGTCCTGGGTTACTGAACCCAGGCGAAGGATGTGGAAAGAGGTAGGGGGGAGGGCTCTAACTTCTGACCTTTCTTCATTCTCCAGGGCACAGGGGAGTGTTCCTCAGGCCCAGGGGAGATGGAAGCTTCCAAGAGGGGCCTGGTCCCCATGGAGGAGAATTCCATCTACTCCTCCTGGCAGGAAGGTGAGTCAGGGAGGCTCAGGGGCAGCCTCAGTCATCCTCCACCCGGGGCTGGGATCTTTGGGGGCCCAGGCGTGCTGTACCTGATGGCCTCACTGCCCTCCTGCCTACAGCAGGCGAGTTTCCAGTGGTGGTGCAGAGGACCGAAGCTGCCACCCGCTGCCAGCTGAAGGGGCCCTACCTCCTAGTGCTAGGCCAAGACACCATCCAGCTGAGGGAAGCCTCCAGCCCCCAGGCCCTCTACACCTGGCCCTACCGCTTCCTGCGAAAGTTCGGCTCTGACAAGGTAAGGGTCAGGGAGTGCCCTGCCGGGAAAGCTGGTGGGTGGAGGGGTGCTTAGGTCCCTCTGCCGCTAACCCACCCATACCACCCCCAACCTCGTGTCCAGGACGTGTTCTCCTTTGAAGCTGGACGCCGCTGTGACTCGGGCGAGGGTCTCTTCGCCTTCAGCAGCCCCCGAGCCCCTGACCTGTGCAGGGCAGTGACCGCTGCCATTGCCCGCCAGCGGGAACGGCTGCCAGAGCTGGCTGGACCCCGGCCCTGTCCCCTGCCTCGGGCCACCTCCCTGCCCTCACTGGACCCGCCAGGAGAGCTTCGGGAAGTGCCCCTAGGGCTGGAGCCGCCCAGCTCTCGGAGGGCACTACTAGCAGATCCGGGCCCTCAGAGCCTGCCTCCACAGCTAAACCCGGTGCCCCGCGATGAGCCGGTGTCTGGGCTCTATGCATCAGTGTGCAAGCGGGCCAGTGGGCCCCCAGCCAACGCCGAGCACCTCTATGAGAACCTGTGCATGCTGGAGGCAGGCCCCGTGCTGCCCAGGGACAAGGACCCGGGGCAGGAGGATTCCAGCCGCCGCAGCCCCCTGGCCAGCCCCATCTACCACAACAGCGAGGACCTGGGCTGGCCGGGCCCCACCCATGACAGCAGCCTGGAGGCACAGTACCGGAGGCTGCTGGAACTGGAGCTGGGCGACAGTGATGAAACTGCGAGCTCTGGCCGCCCCAGTGCTCACACGGGCTTCAAGGCCAAGCTGGTGACGCTCCTGAGCCGTGAGCGGAAGAAGGGCCCGGCCCCCTGTGACCGGCCCTGAAAGTCCTGTGTGGCTCTGGGACAGGAGAAGAGAAAGGTGCTCTGCTGTTCCCGGGCCAGGGCCAATAGTGGACATCTGGGACACACCCCTGCATCCACGCTGGCCCCGGGTGGGTAAGGCAGGCAGGCTGGGGGGGACCCCACCCGCCATCCCCCACTGCCATGTACAGTGTAGAGATTTTCTGGTAATAAAACCTCCCAGCTCTGCTCTTGGTCCCACTGGTAGTGCACAGCCCTCAGCTCCTCCCTTATGCTCCTGACAGTGGCGCTCACCCAGCTGCATGCACGCGGGCTCTCACTCACGCGCCCATTCTGGGTGCCACAGACACACCCAATGTGGACTTGACCTCCACGAACCGTGGGCTCAGATCCACTCAAGCAGAGGGGTGGGATGCAGATAATTGGGGCCCATGTATTCAGTCCTGAGCAACAAAAATGACGGGGACAGTCAGGCTGGAACAGAAATTGGGCCTAGCAGTGGGGGAGGTGCCCTCTGAGTTAAATGTGAAGGATGGGAAGGGGGGGCACCTTCGCAGGTGGGCAGCAAAGCCCCAGGTCTTTCCCAGCTGCAGGTGGGTCTGCACTGGCCCAGAGACGAAGGGAAAAGCGTGGGGCTGACAGGAAGTTGGTGGCCAAGCAAGAGAGGCCTGACGAGCCTGCAGTGGGCTTGGTCTGCTCCTCAGCAGAGAGACACAGTCAGATTATAGAAGGAGCAGTGTGGAAAACAAATCTGAGGGAGCCCAACTGGAGACCAAGTAGCCTGAGCGGGGGAGGAGGTAATGGGTGGGGGTGGGGAAGGGTGTGAGTGTGTGAGGTGGGGGGAGCAGAGGCAGAGAGAATCCTGAGCAGGCTCCATGCTCAGCACAGAGCCCAAAGTGGGGCACAATCTTGCAACCCTGAGATCATGACCTGAGATGAAATCAAGAGTCAGCTATGTAACCGCCGGAGCCACCCAGGCACCCCATAACTCAGGGGAGTTCTGTTCTCAAGGACCTCACGTTCCAGAGGGAGATAAAGCAAGTGTCTTGAAGACTTTGGTGCCCCCATGCTACTCCTGTCACCATGCCCAAGGCTTCCATGCACAAAACCTCATGCCCCCAAGAGTCTTGCCCCCAGCCCCTTGACCTCAGCCCCACCTCTGCTGCCCCTGCCATTGGCACACCCCAAACCTCTGCATGACTGTGAGGCTCCCTCTTCGCAATCTCATTTCCAAGCATCCACCTCTGGCCACCTCCTTGTCTCTTTCATGTGGGCTGGCATGGCCCACGGAGCTCCCCTCCAACCACACTGGCCTACAGGAGCCTTTCTTCACCATCTGTGCCATTGCTCTCTGCGACGCCACCCTTGTCCAACTTGGATTCTTCGCTCCACCGATAGAGCAAAGCCTTTGTGCTCCTCTCTTCTTCCGTCTTATTTGTCCAGCACAGTGCCCAGCCTCAGGGGAACCCACCTCCTCTCCATATGTGTCCCTGCAGCCAGAGACATCCACATGACCAGGCCTGCCACATTCTCTAACGATGTGATCTCAAAGCTCAGATGGACAGGCTCTCCAGAGAGATCTGACATCCCAAGACCTTCTCACCTTCTTTTCTCCATCCCTACTCATTCTCATCTCAAAGATCTCCTGGAGAGATGGCAGGCAGCAGACAGCAGCAAACCCCCCCTCCCAGCTTCCCAGCCCTTCACTAGCAAGTGAAGGAGCCACGCCATCTCCATCCTGGCCTACAGGGACAGCAGTGTCTGCTCCCCACCCCACGCGCTCTGACCCCAGCTCCCCTCCCCTCACAGATTGGCAAACCAAGCCGTCCCCTCGCCTCAGCCCATGAACTCCACAGTCAACGTCATCCTTCCCAGCCACAAGCAAACATTTCCAAATTTCACATCTTCAAAGGAAACCTTTGACCTTGCATTCTGCTTCAGCCACCTCCTTGTTCCCTTTTCCCCTTCAAAATGAAACTCCTCCAAAGAGTTGTTGATTACTTTCATTTCCACTTTTTCCTATTCTCCCTTGGCCAACTCAAGTCTCCCTGAAGGCCCCACTGATCCGTTACATCGCTCTTATTATGGTCCCCAAAACAAAAGCAACATGTTCTCCCCAACTTCTCAGCAGCATTTGACATTCCTCCTTAAAAGACCATCTTCACTTGGTTCTCCTCCCTCCCCACAGATCTCTCCTTCCCAGCCTCTGCTGGCCCCTCTTCTGCCAGAGTCCTGCCTGGGGCTTTAGCCTCAGTGTATCTCAACCCTGGCTGCAAATGGAATCACCTGGAGCCTTTTTAAAAAATGCCCCTGCCTTGTCCTAAACCCAGAAGCTAAGATTTCATCAGTTGGAGTCCAAGGTGGAGAACCACCACTATAAGTGAGCCAATTCCTTCTCCAGATCTCATAGACCATCTAAAGGCTCAGGACTCCCAAAAGTACATCTCAGCACAGACCTGTCCCACTGAACTCCAGATTTAAGAATCCAACTGCACACCAGACTCCCGGATGTCTGAAAGACGTCTCCAAAGGCAATGTGTGAAAGTAGGTTGTGGGCACCAGGGTTCAGTGCTGTGCCACAGAGAGAAAAGCCTGGAAGGATGTTAGAGGCAGGGGGAGGTAGGTTTATGCCCCGCTCATGGGAGGGGGGGATGTCTTCCCTATGACAGGGAAAGTCTTCTCATGATCGATCAGGCTGCCGGCCATAAAGCACGCTGAGGCCAGGAGGTTTCCCAGTCCCATTGTCTGCAGCAAGGACCCCTCCACTCTACAGTGACAAGCCAGCCCTTGACAACTCAGCATATCCTAGGACACTGAAGGTTACCCTGAGAATTAGGGTTATGGCCAGAACTAGAACGTAGGACTCTGGGTCTATTTTCTGGCATGCTTTTTCATTACAAATCTAAGACTCTTTGCTTTATGGCAGTTTTTGTGAGAATCCAACCAGTCTGTAAAACAGAAAGTCTTTGCAAATCTTAAGGATTCTAAGGCCTCGCCCTGGAGCTGCACGTGTACTGGACACTAGGGGGCACTGTGTCCTAGCCTGGGGCCTTTGCAGGGAACACTGGTGGCTTCATCCAGGCCTTAGCCTTGCACAGCCAAGGAATGGGACCCTGGTGTCCTCTGCTGGAGGACTGCCAGGAGCCCCAGGCTGCCACTTGTTCTTTACTCATTTGCTGTTTCACTTTCTCAATCCTTCCTTCATCTCTTCAGTCACATCCACTGTGTACAGACACTGGAGAAACGGTGGATAAGACAGACAAACCCCTGCTCTAATGGGACTCCCACTGTAATGAGAACAAAGGGCAATGAAGAAACAAGCACCTAGGGCGCCTGGGTGACTCAGTGGGCTAAGCCTCTGCCTTTGGCTCAGGTCATGATCCCAGGGTCCTGGAATCAAGTAACACATCGGGCTCTCTGCTCAGCAAAGAGCCTGCTTCCTCCTCTCTCGCTCTCTGCCTGCCTATCTGCCTATTTGTGATCTCTGTCTGTCAAATAAATAAAATCTTTAAAAAAGGAAGAAAGAAACCAACACCTAATATAATGTCAGGTGGTGTTAAGTGCTATGGGGAAAAATAAAGCAGGGTAAGGGGCTACGCGCCCAATGTGAGTGACATGTCAAGGGGCTATTGTTTTAGATAGGGTGAGCAGGGAAGGCAGGCCCTTTGGAGGAGGCAACAGCTGAGCAAAGATCTGAACAAAGTGAGAGAGCCTGTTGTTTAGGTAGCAGGGGAAACTGTTCCAAGCAGAAGGAGGTACAAGTACAAAGTCCCTGGGGCAGGAATATGCTTGATGTGCTGCAGGAACAGTGAGGAGGCTGGAGTGGCTGGGGTAGAATGAACAAGGAGGGGAGCGGTGGGAGGTACACTCAGCAAGGAGGGGAGCAGTGGGAGGTAGAATCAGCTTATTAATGTCATGTACATCTTAAGGACCTTAGTTTTATTTCAAGTGCAACATGAGCTTACTGGAATGCTGAAAGCTGAGTGTGATGTGGTGTGATTTTTGCTTAAAAAATATCACAGCTGCTGCATGGAGGTTCTGGGTTAGGTAAGGGTAGAAGCAGGAAGATCTGTTAGGAGACTGTTAAGGTGTCCATATACAAGACGAATGGCTGGAACAGCAGTGGCAGCAGTGACCAAATATGGAACATATTCTGAAGGTAGAATTTGTAGAATTTAGGGTATAATAGAGAAAGGAAGGATAATGTCATAGTTTTTTTTACTGAATCAGGTGGATGAATGGTGATGTCATTTACTAAGGTGAGGAAGAAATTAGGGAGGTGGAAAATCACAAGTTTAAATTGGGATATGATGAGTTGAGGTATCTAGCAGACCTGTAAACAGAGGGTGGATAGGATGTTCTATAATAGAACCTGGAATTTTGGGAAGGGGGGTCAGGACTGGACATATAACTTGGGAGTCCTTGGCACATAGGTGTTACTGATAGTCACAGGACAAGATGGGGTCCAGGCAAATGAATGTAGTGAGGGAACATTTTGTGGCCATGTTGGGAGGCAGATGCAGGGCTGCCAAGGGAGGTGGAGAAGGAATAACCAGTATCAGGAGGAGGCATGAAGCCAGGGGCAAAGGGGAAGGCACCTGGGCCAGTGCTACTCCCACACAGGGTAAAAGGAAAGCTGACAAAATCACCATTGACTTGATAACTTGGAGATCACTGGAGATCCTGAAAAGAGGGAATTAATTTAGAGGACTGGTGGAAACAAGGGCCTGAGTGCAATGAGTCCAAGGAAGTGCAGGAGGAAAGCAAGTGCAGTTGTCTATAGCAAGGGCAGTTGTCTATAGCAAGGGCTATAGACAACTCCTTTGAGAAACTGTACTCTCAAAAGGACAGAATAAGGGACACCTGGCTCAGTCAGTTGAGCATCTGCCTTTGGCTCAGATCATGATCCCAGGATCCTGAAATCCTGTATCCGGGGAGTCTGTTCAGTGGGAGTCTGCTTCTCCATCTCCCTCCCAGCTGCTCACGCTCTCGCTCTCTCTCGCTCTCTCTCTCTCAAATAAATAAATAAAATCTATTTTTTAAAATGGGGTAAAATAGAAGAGCAATAATTGGAGGGGAGGTGGGGTCAAGAGAGGATTTCTTTAAAGGTAACTCTTACAGCAGTCTGTGTAGTGAGGGAAATGATGCACAAAAGAGGGAAATGTGATGATGGCAGAGGGGGGAGAAGAGCAGCAGCTGTGCCCTAGAAGGAGCAGAGAGGTAGACGCCTATTCAGTCAGCCACACACTGCTGTTTCTGCTCCATTTCCCCTGCCACCTGTGCTAGCTGCCCGGGATGACCACTAGGGACAAAGTGGGGTCTCCAACACCTCTGCTAGAGTCACTCTCTTACATCCCCACTGCAGGCGCTGCCTTCTCCGGAGTGGGGTACCAGGCAACAGACCATTTCAACAGTGTGGAGTCATTACAGAGCAGAGGGATGTTGACTGCCTGGGGTCAAGCTCAGATTCCAGCCAGGGTCCCCTTCCAACTCTGTCCGCTCTTGCCATTATTTTCCGCCGTCTGTAGAGTTTTACAAACCTAACTTCAAGATCCCCTGACCCCACCCCAACTAACTCCACCTCGAGGTGTTGCACACCCGCAAGTCCCTCCGATCTAGAAATTCTGGAGACGCCGATGACTTGCACCCTATGCCAAACAATACATATCCTCACGATGGACCTGCAAGGTTAGTATTATTGCCCCATTTTTTCCGAGGAGGAAACAGATTCAGGACGTCCAGGTCCGCTTGGTTTCGAAGACCGCTTTCTTTCTGCTCGGCCAGAAGGAGGCGCAAGGGGCTGGGCGAGCTTCTAGCAGGCTCGCAGAGGAGTTGACCTTAAGCCAAGTCCCCGCCCAGATCCCGTCCAGACCCCGCCCAGGCTCCGCCCCGCCAAGGGGGTCCCCGGCAGGCCAGACCTTCCAGCTCAAAGCAAAACGGGACTTCGTGATTGGGCGGGGCAGAAGGATTGGGTGTGGCTTCCCTGTCGTAGAGCGGCCGCTCGCGGGCGTGACTTTGACGGGGCGTGGCCTATGGCTCCGCCCCCTTCCGCGGCCTCAAAGCGGGCGGCGGCGGCGGGGGCGGGGTCAGAACACGGGTGGTGGATCCAAACGAGGCTCTTTGGGGCCAGCCACCGGGCAGCGCCTCGGCGGGGCCGAGCAGGTACTGGCGACCGCGCGGGGCGTCTCGGGCTGGGCCAGGCTGAGGGCAAGAGCCTGCTGGGGCCACGGAGGGCACTGGGGTCGGGGCCAGCGCTGCGCTTCCTCTAGCGAGCTTGGGCCCCTGCCTCCGCCCCCGCCCCCGCCTTCCTGCGGCGAAGCCGGCTGCGGCACAGCAGATTGGCGCCTGCGCTGCTTCCTGCGCCCGGGACTCGGCCAATGCATGGGGCTCGGGCGGGGGACGGGGGAAACTGAGTCACGTTGGGATGCTACTAGGCCTGTGTAGGAGGCGCCACCCCAGCTGGGCTCCAGGATGAATTCCCTATCTGGCCACGCTTTGGGGTCCTAGCCCTCACCGATTTCCGCAGCCGCCACGGCCCCGCCCGGTCTCTCCCAGCGCCCGGGGGTCGTCATCAGCCTCGACCCGTCCGGGAATGGCTAGGACCCGCTCCAGCCGCCTCCCTTTCCACCCCTCCCCCTCGCGTCCCGAGCCCCTGTGTGCTCCCTCCGCTGGCTCCGCAGTGTCAGCTTACACGCCTTATATAGTCCGAGCAGGCTTCAGCGCGGCCTGCCTGTCGGGACCTGGGGGCGGGGGAGAGGAGCGCCCGGCCCCTGACTCACCCTCAGTCTGTCCGAGGCTTAAGGCTGGCTTGGGGGGAGCCCGTGTCACATTAGCCCTGCGGCCCATTTATGCTGATAAGAACCTCAAGGCTGAATAAGGGGAACCCCTCATCTTCTCAGTCACTGGGGGAGGGGAGTTACCCCTGCCTTCCCAGAATGAGGTCTGCCAGCCAGAAACCCAGCCACACCTGACAAGGTGCCCGCCTACAGGGGCCCTGGCTGTGTCAACGACTGCTCGTGCCTGCCTGGCACCAGTTCACGGCCGGTGTCCAGAGCTGGGCCTGCCTGCTCCCCCATCATGGTGTCCACTCACCTTTTCTTTCCTCCCAGGAGCAGGCACCATGGAGTCCTTCAAGGTGGTGCTGGAGGGGCCTGCACCTTGGGGCTTTCGGCTCCAGGGGGGCAAGGACTTCAATGTGCCCCTCTCCATCTCCAGGGTGAGCCAATGTTGGGGGAGAAGCTCCCCCAGGAGTCTTTGGGTGCTCAGGTCTCTGATGGGTGATGGAAGGAGTCTGGGCAGGAGTGAGCCAGGTCCAGTAGAGCAGGAGATATCTGGCTCCAGAGATGTGGCAGACACCTGCCACAAAGGCTCCCAACTAGGTGGGTACTGGGAGAGGAGCACCCAAGGTTCCCCAGCACTGCTCAGTACTTGATGCAATTCAACAAAGCTCCTGGGGCCTCCTCTGAGGCCCCAGGGAGATGCCCATTCTGCAGGAGGGAAGCCTGAGGTCTCTGGGAAGTATCTAAGCTGCTTGAAGGAGCAATGCTTGGAGCTTAGCCCCAGCCAGGGCACTCTTGACTGCACGATCTCACTTCAGCACCATTGCCACCCAGGGTATAGCAGTTGTCATCCTTTTTTCCCAGATGTGGGAACTCAGGGCTCAGAGAGGTAGAGGGCCTTTACAGTGATTCCTTGGCAAAGCAGGGATTAGAATTCAGGCACTGGGATGGTCTGCAGTTTTTGTGGGGGGGGGGGACACTTTCCGGCCTCTGTGAGATTTGTCCATCTTCATCCATTGGTCCTATTCGAGATGCAGTGGCCCCTGACCCAAATCAGGGGTATGGGATGAGGCTCTAGGGTTCTAACTTCAGCTCCTGAGCCCCTGCCCTGGAAAGGGTGGAGCTGGGCCTGGCTCCTCCCTGTAGCAGGGGGATTGCCTTATAAGCCCAAGAATGCAACCCCACGCTGGGAAGGCCAGCTGGTGACTAGAGTCCACAGAACTGAAAAAAGCTGGCTGAGGCCTAAACCCCTAAATGCCGTTGGTGGGCCCCTCAGCTGGTGACCACGAGGACATGGCTCCAACTGTAGTAGGGTCAGTTGTGGGACACAAAGAGGTGCCCAGAGAGAATGAGGCCAGCCCTTGGACTGGTGTCTGTGGCCTGGGGGTCAGTAGGGGGCGGGGACTTCCTGCCCCCACATCCGCCTGTCCAGAGAGGCCCACCCAGGCGCCCACTGGGCAGGCAGCTGTTGGCAGGAAGCCCAAGGCAAGCACAGCCTGGAGGGGGCCAGAAGGTTGTCCAGGCACTGCCCAGCTTGAGAGGGCCCCCAAGGCCAAGTCTGTCTGTGGGAATCGGGCTTGGTGGCCAGGGCAGGCGAGTGGTCACTGTTCTTTCCAGGAACCTTTCCATGGGATTCCCCTGGAAATTGCCCTGCCAGCTGGGTAGGTTAGGTCTCCTGACTACACAAACCCACCCCTACAGAATTGTCAAGCTTTGCTAGCCCTAAAAAGGTATTCTGTATCCCTCTCTCTGGGAAAGTGCTAGTCCATGTGGCTGGGGAGCTGTAGGCCTTGGCTGGACTAAGACTCAGTTTCTTCATTGGAGGGGATGGGCAACATAATAGCCTGAGGGATGGACTTTAGGATGTGGCCTGTGGGGGCACTCTGGGTCTGAGCTCCCTTGTCAGCGGCCCTAGCTGTGGGTGGGGCCACAAGCTGAGCCCAAAGCTGGAGTTGGACCTAAGCCCTGGTGGGTGGGCGGGTGGGGTGGTCTTTTCTGAGTTGGGCCAGCCCTTCCCTCTCCCCTGACCCCAGGGAGGAGGGAGGGGCTAGGGCTGGCTGTGGGCCCAGGCCTGGGAGATGAGGTAATGTCTGAGACTTGGGGGTTGGGCTGCTCATTAGAGCCCTCAGGCTGACTCACCCCCACCCTTTGCAGTGTCCAGCTCTCTGGCTTTCCCCCTCCTTGACTCGGGCCTCCTTGTCTCTCCAGCCCCCCACCCCACACCCAGCAGGGTTTTCTCCTGTTTCCCTCTCCACTTCTCTGACCACTCCTCTATCCCTTTTGTGCTTCCTGTCCTCTTCACTCAGGAAAGGAAGTAGTCCCCAGATCCCCACCCCTCCCTGGGAGCCAGCTGCTCCTGCTCACCCCCAAGACCTCTACCTCAGGCTTAGCGCACACATCCCAGGAGCCAGCTTGTGTGGGTAGGGAGTGGCTGGACCAGGTTTCCCTTCTACTGACTCATCATGACCTTGAGTAAGTCACTTCCTTTCAAAGGTGTCACTTCTCTATGCTCGTTATAAGGGGCTGTTGGATTGAACTAAAAGCGAGAAAGGAGATCTAGGCCCCAGACCCGACCAGGGGTTTAGGGAATTGTTCTAGGTAGGCTGACCTCTAAGTTGGGTCCCAACACTCAGCAGAGGTAGCGTATTGTAGTGGAACCTTAGGGTCAGGGTCAGCCCTGGCCTTGCCTCTTACTAATAGAGTGGCTTGAGGCAAGATACATAAACTCTCTTTTTTTCGCGTGTGTAAAAGGCATATAATCTCGGACTCTACTCCACAGGTTGTTGGAAGTGTCAGTATTATTAGCATGTGACAGTATTAGGTGCTCGATAAATGTCAGTTGCTCTTCTTACCATTTAGCAGATGAAGAAGGAGGCACCCAGCTGTCTTTCCCTTCTAACTTCCTAAGCATGAAATAGACCCAGCTCTCCCTTCTTGCCCCTATGCTGCATCTGGTCTCTCTGCCTTCTGGAAATGTCTCTAGAACCTCCTACCTCCCCTCTCCCTGCCTCAACTCAGTCTGTGCATCAGCCCACCTGAGGAGCCTCCTGGGCCACAGGCAGCCAGTACCTCTCAGTCCTACCCTCCAACCTATGAAATGTGAATTGGTCTTCCAGTTGGCCTGTAGAAGTGTACTTAATGCCAGGTCCCTTGCCAGATGCCCAGGCAGCTCTGTGGGCTGGACCCATGAACTGCTGCATCATCCTTTCTGAGGGGCTAGAGGGCTAGAAGCGCCCAGGGGGTTTGTCAGGGTTACCTCTGTCAGAGCTCTGAGAAGTACCCCCACTGGGGCTTTCCAAGGCCTGATGGCCCCTCCTAACCTCAGGGCCAAGTCCTGCTTCCTCCATGACTGTCTCAGGGGGCCATTACTGCCAGCCCCCTACTACCCTTCATTTTCCATAGGAACCAGGGATTTCCCAGGCAGAGCCCGAAGGACTGGGGGAGAGGGTGATGTGGCATTTGAAGGCTTCAGGATGACACTCATTTACAGCCCTAGCTGACACCTTGGGCCTCCTTCAGTCACTTCACAGGGTACCTGGGCCTATTCCTGACTCTCAGAGGGTCCTGGCAGATCCCTGCAGATGGCCCCAGGACAGGGTGCTGGGAGTGTAGGAGGTCAGTGAGAGCATCAGGACACCTAGTGTCCTGGAGGAAGGACGTTATGCACAAACCACGGGCTGGGTGAGACCGCTTGGGCAGGAGGCCAGCAGGGGCCTCAAAGGCTGTGGTTGGAGCTGGGAAGTTGGGGGCTTAACCTACCGCTGGCTGCTTGGTGACTGTCACAGCAGTTCTGCACCATGGGGAAGGGGGGTCATGGAGGTGAACAAATGACTAAATAAATAGGGTGATTGTGGTGTTTATGAAGTTCATGTGAACCCCACCCTCCCAGGTTGTTCTAGTATTCAGCAGCTGCTGAGAAATGCATTGAATGAAGAGGCCTCTGGGTTCTAGAAGAGGGACAGCTTAAACAGGGTTGACTAATATTGGCCTCAGTTTGGTCTGCAAAGGCTTGGGCTGCCGTGACCTTCCATCTCCCCACAGCTCACTCCTGGAGGCAAAGCTGCACAGGCCGGTGTGGCTGTGGGTGACTGGGTGCTGAGCATCGATGGGGAGAATGCGGGGAGCCTCACACACATTGAAGCCCAGAACAGGATTCGTGCCTGTGGGGATCGCCTCAGCCTGGGTCTCAGCAGGTACAAGGGCCCTGGTCTACCTGGAGGGTGAGGGCACCCTCAGGCCTGGCCTGCTATTACCCCTTCCCCTTCTCCTCCAGGGCCCAGCCACCTCAGAGCAAACCGCAGAAGGTAGGCCTAGGACATCTTAGGGTGACATCTGTGTGATGGGAGGGGTGGGATTGGACTGCTGAGCTGACTAGCCCTCTCCCACAGCAAGGAGCCTTGATACCCTCGATAACCCCATTCCTGGCTGGAAGTAGAGGGTGGGGGCCAGAGCTGGGAGAGTCTGGGAAACTGGGAGTTGGGCCAGGAGCTGCCGCACGGTCTGGGCACCACGCATGTCTGCCTGTCTGTCTGCTTCCTTCCTCGCTGGCCTGTGCTACAAGCCGCACTCATCTGCCCTGTGGCCCAGGTGGGCTGAGATCATCCCTCCCACATGGACCCCTTGAAACCTGAGTCCCCCCCGCCCCCATGCTCCCGGCCAGATGTGTCAGTGTGGGGCTGGAGCACCGCCGTCCTCTCCACACCAGGGGGGCATCCCCCTCCTGTCCAGCGTCCCCGCCCCTGCCTGCCCTGCCCGGCTCTGTCTCTGCCCAGGCCCTGGCCCCTGCCGCGGACCCCCCGCGGTACACCTTTGCACCCAGCGCCTCCCTCAACAAGACGGCCCGGCCCTTCGGGGCGCCCCTGCCCGCTGACAGCGCCCTGCAACAGAATGGGTACGTCGGTCCTGCCCACCCACTGCCCTTGCCCCCGCCCACGCCATCTGTCTTGAGGCCCACGCCCCTGCTGCTGCTCAGTCTGCGTTGCACCCCAGCCTGGCTGGAACCGTGCGGCAGCGACCCCTGGCGGCCGGGGCGGGGCTGTAGGCACTGGGCCCCTCCAAGGGTGTGGCTCTTGCACCCTCCTGGGCGCTGGGAGCCAGGCAACGCCCCCGAGCTGGTGGCCCTGGGTTGGGGTGTGGTGTTGGGCGACTGAGCCCCAGACACTCAGTGCAGCCTTGCCCCTGGCTACTCTGACCCCTTTCCATTTTTCTTCTTCCTTGTGTCTGTCCCTTTGTTCCTTTTATCTGTCCATCTGTCTATTTCCTTCACAGGTGCAGACCCCTGACAAGTCAGTGAGCCCCCTCTGCCTGTTCCTTTTTTCCTTCCTTTTGGCATTCTGGGCGGTGGCCCCTCCCTACCCCAGCCGCCCTCCTTTCCTGTCACTTAGCTACCCTACCCCGCCTCACCGAGCAGGGCCCTGGCCTTGCGCTCCCCACTCTCCCAGCACCATAAGCCACATGCACCAATCCCGGGAGGGGCTGCCCCCATGGCCCACCCCCTGCATGAGGTTCTGAGCCACACCCTCCCCACAGACAGCCGCTCCGGCCGCTGGTCCCAGATGCCAGCAAGCAGCGGCTGATGGAGGACACAGAGGACTGGCGGCCTCGGCCCGGGACAGGCCAGTCCCGTTCCTTCCGCATCCTTGCCCACCTCACGGGCACCGAGTTCAGTAAGTGGCAGCCCAGGGCAGGGCGGACTCTCCTGCTGGCCCCCAGCCTGGGCCCCGGGCTCCGCTGGAGCTTGCTCTGGTGCCCCGTGACCTTCTGCTGGGGCTCAGGGCTGGGGTGGCCCTCTGTCTTCTCTTGGTCAATGCCTGCCTCTGCCCTCTCAGTGCAAGACCCGGATGAGGAGCACCTGAAGAAATCAAGGTAAAAGGACACGCAGTAGCCCCTCTTTCTCGCCTCCTGCCTCACCCGTTCCGGCCACCACCCTGTGTCTGCTCCTGAGGGTCCCCAGCCAGGGCTCTCTGTTTTCCTTCCTTCTTTCCTGCCTTCCTCCCTTCCGTCCTCCCTCCCTGCCTCCCTTCCATCTCTCCTTCCTCCTACTTCCTCCTCCTTTTCTCTCTGCCCCCCCAGGGAAAAGTATGTCCTGGAGCTGCAGAGCCCACGCTACACCCGCCTCCGGGACTGGCACCACCAGCGCTCTGCCCACGTGCTCAACGTGCAGTCGTAGCTCGGCCCTCACCGGCCGACTGCCCTCTCTGCCTCTCTCTCTCTCTGTTCCTTCTACCCAGGGCACCCCCTTCTTGGTCGCTGCAGCTTCCGCCTACCTCACTCCCTCCTTTCCTGCCCCTGGACTGAGCCTCCTGCTGGCCTAGCAGAGGGCCTGGCTCTGTCTGACACCGCCTTACCTCTTTGCCCTGTGGTATTACTCTCTGCCAGGTCCGTGCTGGCTGGAGCATGGAAATAAACATTCTCAGCCTGCTTCCTCTGCCTCTGCCTTCTATCTTCGTGGGCTTGGTTTGTGCTCTGGGTGTGGGGGTGTTAGATGGTTCAGACCCAGTGTGGGCCATGCCAGTCTGGGTCTCAGTGGGGGTTGGTACCTGGCAGAGGAGGCCCTGCCGTCAGAGCTCTATCTGGGGGCTGAGGAAGCCCCAAGAACTACCCCAGCAGGGAGAGCGCCCTGCTCCACCTCCCAGCCCTGTACGACAGACCTGCCAGCTGGAACCTGGCTAGGAGGAGCTGCCCTGCCCGTACCTACCCCTGTGGGACCGGGAGTCCAGCCTAGCAGCTCCCATGATCCCAGGCGTCTCTCCCGTGGGGCCAGCAGGACCAAGGTTGGGGGGTGGGGCCACGCCAGGAGCCTCAACCATACAAGGCCTTGAATGGCAGATCTTGCAGCCAGGTGCCCAGGACAGAAGCCCCAGCCCCAGCCTCAGCTACACCCCAGGAACCCTGGCTTGGTGAGAGAGAGTGGGCTTGGGCCTGGAGAAGGGTGGGTAGCCTCCAGGGGAATGCGGATGGGGTGGGGGCCCTCCAGGCTGCCCCAGACTCAAGCCCCTGACCTTTGGGGTCCCTGGGCACCTCCCTGGAGCCACTTTCCTTAGCCCCGGCAGGCCCTACCACCCCCAGTCCCACTAGCCGCCCACCCTGGGCTGTGGACCCTGCCTTTGCCGAGCGCTACGCCCCGGACAAGACAAGCACGGTGCTGACCCGGCACAGCCAGCCAGCCACACCCACGCCTCTGCAGAACCGCACATCCATCGTGCAGGCAGCCGCTGGAGGGGGCCCAGGAGCCGGTAGTGGCAACAATGGCAAGACTCCTGTGTGCCACCAATGCCACAAGGTCATCCGGTGGGTGGCCCTGTTCCTTTTCCTGCTCTGGCCTTTCCCGTCCTAAAGCCTGGCCCTGTTATGTTTCTGACCTCTGCGTCCCCGCCTGTCTCCCCACTCATCTCAGCCATCACTGTGGGAGGATAAGGATGCAGTTCCCAGTTGCAGTGGGGGCAGGGACCTGGCCTAGGTCCTCAGATTCTGCATCCTGCATCCCTTCCCCCACCCCACCCCACCCCACCCCACGTCAGCCTCTGTCAGCATTTGCCCTGCTAAAATGGAGGATGTGCCGACAGCACACTCAGGCTTCACCCCTAGAAAGACCACTCTCTGGGCAGGGAAGGGCCTGCCCCTCTCAGCCCTTCTGCTCTCCCTCCTGCTCACTTGATCCCTGCCAAAACCTCTGCTCTCAGAGCAGACAGACCCAAGGCCCCTCCCTCCCTGCCCTGTTCCCTGGGGCCCAGCGGGATCACACAGTCCCCCCAGAGTTGGCATGCTAGCTCCCTAGAACCTTGCTAGTTCTCAGCCCTTGTCCTGCACTGCTCTTCACTCCTGTCAGCTCTCAGCTCTGCGAAGAGCCCCCTTCTTCAGACATTGATGTGGGCCTACAGGCCCCTCCCCAGGCCAGATGGACCAGGCAAGTGGGCCAGGGTGGGCACTAGGGTCGGCTCAGGTACCCACTGGTCTTCAGAGCAACTGGGCACTCTGGGCCTCCTGCCCCCAGGGCACCAGTTCCTCTGGTTTATCTCACTGGGCCCGGGTCAGCAGCCCCCACCCAGTGTAACCTCCTCTTCATCCCAACACCATCGGGCACTGTTTCTTGTCGTCAGAGCAAGGTGGCTTCATCACTGTGTCATCACTTGGGTCACCTCCCAAGCCTGTTTCTCCTTTATCTGGAAGATGGGGAGAATGAATTTCCCTTCCAGGCTTCAGAGTAGGTGTTCACTAACCATCTGCAGACTAGGCATATACCCCCTCTCATTGCCCTCACCTCCCCCTCAGGGGCCGCTACCTGGTTGCGTTGGGCCACGCATACCACCCCGAGGAATTTGTGTGCAGCCAGTGTGGGAAGGTCCTGGAAGAGGGCGGTTTCTTTGAGGAGAAGGGGGCCATCTTCTGCCCACCCTGCTATGATGTGCGCTATGCGCCCAGCTGTGCCAAGTGCAAGAAGAAGATCACAGGCGTGAGTGGGGCTGGTGGGTGGGCAGAGGGGAGGGCGCTTGGGCCTGGGGGCTTGCCCCTTGGGACTCCTTTGGGTCCTTAGCATCTTAATAAACAGGATGCTCTCCTAGCCTCACTTTGTGTTAGCCAAGATCTTCCCCGATGACCAAAGTCCTACTCTGAGGGGCTCAAGCGAACAAGAGTGGCACAGGTTTCCCCAGCTCTCTGAAAGTAGAGCGTTCCCGTGAAAACTTCCACAAGCTGAAATGGCGTAGTGAAGAAGCAAGTTAATTTATGTGGAAGAAAATTTGAGCATTCCCAGGCCCAAAAAATAACCTCATGTAGGCTTTCCTGATACCTTCGGACACATCTTGCTAACAGATGCACAAAGTAAATCGAGATAAAGCACAGATGTTCTCAGACACAGCTCAGAGCCGTGGGGGCCTGGTGCCAGGATGTAGCCTGGTGCCCGGATGCGGAGTGTGGCTCCCGGGGCAGGAGCTGGGCAGGATCCCTTGCTCAGGTGAGGGCTGTGTACTGCCTCTGGGATGGCTCACTACAAAACAAGCGCTGAACACTCTGTTTCACTTTTTGCCTTTCTTTGTGAAAGCAAAACTCCTTTTTGGGTTTCTTTTAGTTAGCAGGTCTGTCATAAAAGTGAAGTGGTATAACGTTGACTTCTGAAAAGCAGAAGGTTCTATATATGGGCTCAAACACTCAGGAAGCCCAAGGGGCACTAGCTTCAGGCCCGGCTGAAGGCAGGACCTGGGATCATCAGGACTTTTCCCCCACTTGCCTCTGTCGTCTGTGTTGCCTTCGTTCCCTGCATACTTGTGCTTAGAAGGTGGCAAAGGTGGTGCCACAGCGGCTCCAGGGTGACCCCAGTTTCACACTGCAGGGAGGATAGGCATCCCCTGTGCCAGCTGATGCATCAGGGGTCCCAGTGCTCATGCTCGTGGGACTAACTTGTGTCACAGGCACATGTCTGGTCCGAACCTCAGGACTTGGATTAGCCGGGCATGGGTGCTACCCGGTGGAGCAGGGGTCGGGTGGTCCCACCCGCACCACAGAGAGACTGAGGGAGGATTGTTTCCCTGAAGTAAAACAAGATGGCCTCACCCGCAGAGGGGAGGTCTGCGCGGATCCCAGTGACTACGTCAGTGGGGTTGCTTTCAGCGGCAATAATAAAACCTCACCACAGAGATTTCAGCAGAAGGGGTTATTTACTTCACTCACAAGAATTCCAGGGCTGAAACAGCAGCTTCAGGATGGCTTTAGACTTTTCCTCCCTTTGGCTCTGAAATCAGTAGCATGTAGACCCTTGTCCCCAAGCCTCTCATATCACGGTTCCCCAAGGACTGCTCAAGCCCCAGGCCTTGTGTTCTTGTTGCAGGTGGGAAGGAGAGGGCAAAGCCAAAAGGCATGATTTTAACAAGGTTTTTGCTTTTGATTCTGGAAGAAAAACCAGGAACTTGCATCTTTATCTCAGTGTTTGGAATTGTTATCCTGTGAGCACCTGGGCTGCAGGGGAAGTTGGCAAACCCAGTATTTTAGCCTTCATCTTCCATGAGAAGAAGGCAAAAAGGAAGGGGGTCGTGACAGGCTTTGAGGAGGCTGACCCACAGTGTCTGCCACCTCCAGTGCACGAGGGGACAGAAACTCTGAAGGATAATTTACTGTGCCTGGAGGGTGTAGGACTATGGAGTGCCAAAGCCAGAAACCCAGACACAAATCCATGATTCAAAAATCCCATTCTTCCCACTGAGTCTAAACACACAACAGAGCCTGGCCATGTTTTCTGCAGGGCAGTCCCGCTCCCAACAGGAGCCAGGCTTGGAGCCTGGCTTGGTGTGTCATGGGCACAGTATGATGGGCCATCTACCTTAACTCGTTCATTCTCTTTATTTAATGTGGACAGTGTGCCAGATAGTATGTTCCATGCTCGAGAACGCCTCATGAAGTAACAGGTTTGGGCCCTGCCCCCAGGAGCTCCTACTAGGTGGGTAGGATTCAGAGGGTGTCAGGGGTCAAGGGCACCGCCAGAGGAAAAGGGGGCAGAACAGGCGAGGTGAAAAGCTAATGGGGTTCCTGTCGCACCTGTATGGAAACTGAAGCCCAGAGAGCGGCACAAGCTGCCTCAGGCTGCAGAGCATGAGGGCTAAGCTGGAAGAGCCCCAGGAGCTCTCAACTCTCAGCTTGTGCTCTTCCTGACATTTCCTGCTTCTCCTTATTTCTGGATACCGAGGCAGGGCTGCCAAATGTGTCCAGAGAGCTCTGTGGTGATGTTCACATTAGCAAGGATTACCTTGACCACAAGCAGTAGAAGACTCAGAATAGTGGCAGCTTCTTTTCCACCTAAGAAAGTCCAGGGGTGGGCAGTCTGGGACTAATGGGCAGATCTAGGCCTCTGTGTCTTGTTTCTTGGCCATTCTCTGCACTTACTTAACACTGGTAGTCTGAGATGACTCTTGAGCCTTGGCCAAAATTGCCACTGTTTCAGCCAGTGGGAAGGGGAAGAAGGGATGGGGGGCCCGTGGCAGCCATCTTGAGAAGATGCTGCTGCCCAACCCCCATTTTAGCATCCTGTCGACCAGAACTTGGTCACATGACCATGCTGAGCTGCAAGAGAGGTTGGGAGAGACCATCTGTTTGGGGCAGCCTTGTGGCCAGCAACAAAAACGGAGATTCCATCAGTAGACCGGAAGGGGAGAATGGACATGACCACGGTCTTTGTCATAGTGACAGTTTGTGTTGTGGGGCACTTACAGTGTGTGGGGCTTCCACTTCACGGTCCTACTGTAGGAAGTAACTGTGGTGATTCCCATCTTCTAGATGAGGGAGTTTTGCCCCAGATCACCGTCCTTTTCGCACCAGGCTGGGCCACGCCCCACTGGACTGTTCTAAAAGAATGGGCTGGATCCCAGGACCTTTCTTGAGCTGGGTGTCTACAGATCAAGGCCCCATTCTTCGGTGACTGCTTTGTCTGCATTACCCTGCACTCTTGTCCTGCTGTACCCCTGTCCTGAGTGGACAGGGTTATCATCCAGGACACAGAGGAGGAGCCAAGACAAATAGGGCCTGGCTGGCTCCCAGATCCTGGAGTAAGCCTTGGGTGGCAAACCCTCTCCTGCCCCCAGGAACTCCTACCCAGGCTCAAGTTCCACAGAGGCCCAGGGGCCCTTAGCTTCTCTCTTATAGGGACTCAGGGTCTGACAAACTCTAGGAAGCCCCCACCTCAGCCTGGGTGGGAAACGGGGAAGGCTTACCTCCCCAACCTGACAGGGGCTCCGAACCTATATGTGCCCAGAGCTCAGAACTGTGGCTGCCTGGGGAGATCAGTGTAGAGCACAGGGAGAGAAACAGAGGGCAAAGAGATTGTTTCAGGGGAGCTGGTGGGAAGCGGCACACCATGAGGGACACATTAGAGGAGACCTACCCTGGTTTGGGAGCCGCTGGAAAACCCTGTGCTCTTAAGATTCCCCTCTCACCAATTACCCCTCTCCAGTGCTCCAGCCATGTGGCCCATTTCATTTTGCCCATGTGCTGTTACTGTTACCACAGGGCCCTTACATAGCCTGTCCTTTCTACCAGGATTACTATTTTAGCACCCTCTTTACCTTGTTCCTTCTCATCGGGGACTCCTATCATTTCCTCAGGAATGCCTTCCCTGATACCCACCCTTTCCACCAGACCAAAGGCCCCACAATTTGCTTACTACTCCCCAGTCCTTTGTCCCATCTTTTCCCCAGGTGTGAACTCTGTGGGCTGGGACCACGGTTGGTCTGCTTGATATCGTGCTTTAGATTCAGGAGGTGACCAGTAAATGTTTGAAGGACTGGATAGAAGCGGCCTCTGAGCCAAACTTTAAAAATGAGTAGGAACTGGCTTGGAGAAGGATCAGGAGAGAACACCCCAAGCAGAAGGAATAGCTTGTGTCACAAGGTAACACCTGGGAAGAGTGTGAGATGAGACAGAAGAGGTGAGTGGGGGCCATGTTAGGAGTTTGGCACTGGGGCTGATGAGGTCAGCTCTGCCACAGCAAGCTTCCCCTGGAAAAGGGGAGACTGAGCTGGAAAGGGAACAGGCTGCTGGGGCCTGGCTCAGGGCAGTGGAGAGGGGAAAGGCAGACAGATTGAGGAAACTAGGGCATTAAAATAAATACTGATAATTGGCTTCCAGGTCCTTCTGAATACCAGCAGAAAGCGCCTCCCGGCTCACACACACACTGGACCCAGCTCTGGACTACCCCCGCTCTTGCCCGAGCCCACCATCCTCCCAGCTTGCAGCCAAGTTCCTTCCCCCGCAGCCTTTGTCTGCTTCTTGAAAAGAGGCAGCACCAGGCAGTGGAAAAGCCTGCTTTGGAGATAGCTGGACTTGGCCATGAAACCCATTCCTGTGATCTAGTGACTCTGTGACCTGGTGTGGGTCACTCTCCCTGGGCCTCACCAACATGGTGGCAGTCGCTTCCTGGCCAGGGCGGTTGCGAGGTGTATGTGAGATGTGACAGAGAGGCAGAGGGCACCTACAGGCCATCGGAGAGCCAGGTGCTGCCCATGTGTCTTGCTTGGTCTACACCTGCATTTTAAATTAATGGGCAATATCTTAAAATCAGATTTCACTTTAACACCCTGATTTCACCCAGAGCCTTCCAGGTATTTCTGCACGAACTTCTCAGCACTGTCCCTACAGGCAGAAACAGGTGCTCCCCAGCAACATCTTGCTCTGTGGGGTACACTACCTGACCCCAGCAGGCATGGAGTCTGGGGGCCCCAGCTTCAAACACGGGGCCGTCCTTACAACCTGCAAGGCTGGGATTAGGTTCCCCATTCACAAGGGAAGGAACCAAGGGTCAAGAGAAAGTAATGCCATGGGCCAAGTTGCCCAGCTAAGAAGCAAGGTCTGGTTGGACCCCCAAGATTGACAGCCTGGGCCCAGTGAGGTCACAGACCTTCCCCAAGCCTCGGCTTCCTCCCCAGGCCATGAAGCAGGTTTTGAGCACCCACAGGGATGGGCACTGTTGCTGCATATCAGCTTCTAGAAGTATCACATCTCATTCCCTCCTGGACCTTATGTTTGATCAGGAAGAAGGGAGGAGAGGAAATGCTAAGCAATGGGCTCAATAAGTACATCACGGGGTCCTGTGTTAGTAAAACCTGCTGAGGGATGTAGAGAACAGAATTAAAGATCTTGGGAACGTAGCTTTGGAAGAGCCGATGGGAAGTACTAACTGGGGTTGTCAGAACAGGCCTCTGGAGAAGGGGACACGAGCAGAAACTGGAAGGCAGTAAGGGGTGAGACTTGGGACATACGTGGGGTAGACAGTCAGGTGGAGGGGACAGCCCGTGTGAAGCCCCAAGACTGGAGCACCAGCAGAGGGCCAGAGGCAATGTGGGGAGAGCAGAAGATGCAGTGTAGGCCGGGATTCCAGCAGAGGGCAATGTGGCCTCGCTCAGCTTGACCTCAGCCTGCAGGGGCGGCAAGAGGAGCTCAGAGGGGCGTTTCTGGCCACCACCCCGGAGCTCACATCCCACATCAGGGAGGCAATGAGAAGTGGTAGCGATCTGGATGCACCTTGACAGAGGACCTAACAGGGATTCTTGGCAGCTTTGATGGGGTGTATGAGAGAAAGGGGCGTCTCAGCTGAGCAGATGGAGGGAGTTGCTGCCAGCTGAGCTGGGGACAGCTGTGGGGAGAGGCGGGTTTGGGGTGCAGAGGCAAGGCACTGTGGCCGACCTTGGGGAGACCCCAGGGCTGGAGGTAGAGTGGGGAGGGTGGGTGTGCAGATGTGACGGGTGTGCAGATGTGACGTTTACCATGGGAAGGAAGAGGGCCCATGGCCAGCCTTCCTGTGTCCCCAGCTCTGGAAAGGAGGGGCCAAGCTGCCTGGTGACTGTAGCGTCCTCCTAGGAGATCATGCACGCCCTGAAGATGACCTGGCACGTGCAGTGCTTCACCTGTGCAGCCTGCAAGACGCCCATTCGGAACAAGGCCTTCTACATGGAGGAAGGTGCCCCTTACTGTGAGCGAGGTACGGAGCCCCAGCGGGGGGTGGGGAGGAGGCCAGGGGTAAGGGGTTGGTGGGGGGCAGTTCAAAACCCAGGGCCCCCTTCCTCTCTGCCTTCATCCTCAGACTATGAGAAGATGTTTGGCACAAAGTGCCGGGGCTGTGACTTCAAGATCGATGCAGGGGACCGTTTCCTGGAGGCGCTGGGCTTCAGCTGGCATGACACTTGCTTCGTGTGTGCGGTGAGTGCCCCCTGCCTTGGACTCAGGTCTGCCCCCTCCCCCACCCAACCCAGCCTGGTGTTGTTCACCAGCCTCCCTTCTACTCCCTGCCTCTGGAATTCATGAGAGGCTGGGAAGGGGACTCTCCTGCCTCCCCCAACCCCATGTGGCTTGACCCTGGCTGTCCTCAGATATGCCAGATCAACCTGGAAGGGAAGACTTTCTACTCCAAGAAGGACAAGCCCCTCTGCAAGAGCCATGCCTTCTCCCACGTGTGAGCCACTCCTACCCAGGGCCGCCTCTTCCAGCCCAGCCAGAGGGAAGTCCTTCCAGAGGCTCGCCCCAGACTTCTGGATAGGGCTGGCAGAGCTCACCCCCCACCCAACTCCTGGCCTGAGCCTGGGGTTCCCTGGGCCCTGCCCTCTCCCCTCATCATTTCCCCGCACTCCCTCCATTTCCCCCCACTCCCTCCACCACCATCACACACCGGTGCTGGCCACACCAGCCCCTGTTCACACCCAGTGCCACAATAAACCTATATCCAGCCGTGTCCGGCGTGTGCTCCTGCCTGTGCACTAGGACTGGTGGGATTGGAGGCCTGCAGAAAGGTGGAGATTAAGATGGTTTTCCCAGGGCTGGCCGTCCTGGTCATCCTTGTTATGAGGACAGCTCATGGTCAGCAGGAGAAGGTCAAGGGGGAATGTGGAGGTGCCAGATTGGGACTGGCTTGAGGGACAGAGAAGAGGAGTTGGAGGTACGTCTGCAGAGATGGGAGGTGGAAAACAACCAGAGCGAAGGCCCAGAGGTGTCAGCCGAATGCCACAGCAGAGGGTGGGATTGGAGAGCCCAGCCCCCCGGGGCCTGGGAGGCCACAGGTGCCTGGCCAAGGAGCTGGGACTGCATCGCAAGCGGGGTCAGAGCACAGAAGAGTATGAAATAGTGAAGCAACCCGTGAAAGAGCTCTGAGATCCGTGAGCAAGGTGGACAGAAGGAGGGGGGACTAGGAGGAGGGGCCATGGAAAGAGAGGAGCAGAAAGTGACTTGGCAGAGATGGGACCCAGGGACTCCCAGGGAGCCTAGAGTGGGGGCCTGAGGGATGAGGGGTGAGGAGAGGCAGGAAGGCAACTCTGCTATGTGTCTGGAGTACACCAGGCATTGCTCACACTAGCTCAGCCATCCTCCCAGCTGCCCTGGGAGGGCTCTACTCTCATTATGGAGCTGAAAAGAGCTCCGATTTGAGGACTTCTCCATTGAGGAGACCTGATCAAGGGTTTCATGGCTCCTGAACCATGAGCAGACTGGACAACAGGCCTGAAGCTGGGCACCCTTCAGCGAGTGCCCCTTGGAAACTCCCTTCTGCCTGCTGTCTTGAAACTTGGAGGTTCTGGCAGTGGCCCCATCTTTCTCTGGGGCTTCTTGCTTCCCACTGATGCCCTCCCCCACCCTAGAAGAACTGTCATCTCTCTCTCCCATCTCAAGCCTGGACTGGAGAGAGACTGAGGAGAGGCCCAGACTGGAGCCAGGACAATGTGGCACGGGACATTTGAGCGTGTCTGAAGTTGCTGGCATTCTCAGCAGGTCCCTGGGCCCATCCTTCTCAGAAGAAGAGATGGCCTCTCTGTTGTGTTCTCTTGAGGACCCCTGGAGATGGGGCTTCCTGTGTTATTTTCATCACACCTCGCCAGAGCCTAGAACAGTGCCTGGCACACAGTGGAGGCCCAGTGAATGCTGAATGACTGCATGGGGTACCTGTGGGACATTTATGTGATCAGAGAGCAGATGAAGATTCCAGTCCATATTCACCTCATATTCAACTCAGGAATGAGTTGGGGACAGGGCCAGGGAGGTCACAGATGCTTGTAACTGATGTCCAGAGAGACAGCTGAGGAGCAGGGCCCAGGCAGGTCACACAGCAGGAGTCAAGCAGGTAAGATGTGGTTTCCTTTCAACTGAGACATCCTTAGCATATTAAACACAGTATCTTTCACTTCCACAAAGAAATGTACTCTCTCCCACTTCTCTTGAACCGTGAAGCCCTCTCAGTCCATCCTTGGTTTCCATGGATACAGGTGAGCAAGAGCCCAGGGGATGATGGGGAGGGCTGCTGGGAGCAGTCTGGGAGAAGTCTTCTCTGGGCAGCCACCCTCGGCCCCAAGCAAGGGCCACCGTGTAGGAACACCCAGTTGTGCCAAACCCGACAGTTTACCAACAGCATCCAGAGATTCAGACTTTTATGTGAAATCTGGTTTTTGGATGTTGGCAATTAAATTCAATTCTTTTTTAACCTGTTAAAAAAAATAATAAACGTGGAACAAATCCAGTGTGAGGACAGCCAGGGAAGAAAGAAGAGGCCAGGAAGCAGCAACATCCCAGCAGTGGGCAGAGGAAGCAGACAGATGACAGCCTCTGAAATGCTCGGGGCAGGGAGGCAGGGGCAGGGCAGGAGTGTTTCCAGAAGTTGCCAACAGTGTCATACAGGCAGATAAGGCCAAGGAGTCCCCATAGCATTGTTTCACAACAGAGCGACAACATTTGCCAGATCAGTTAGCAGAGCTGGGGCAGCAGCCCGGGTGAGAGGAACAAGGAGGGCTGGTGAGATGTGGAATGAGAGGAGATGAGAGACTGTAGACAGCTCTTAAGAGGCTTGGCTGTGGAGGGCCAGGAGGAAGCTGGACCACTAGCAGCCAGGGTCAGCTGGGTGGCCCAGACGGGTGGAGGGAGGAAGCTGGGAGGCTTCTGCCCAGGGAAGGTGGTTAAAGAAGGGGAAGTTGGGGGGGGGGGGGGACTGGGAGGGGAGGGTGAGGAGCAGAGAGCTCCCCCCTGCCCGCCCCCACCGCCATCTCAGGAAAGAGGAGCTAGCCTAGATGGAAATAAACATAGCGTGGGGGTACCCGCTCTGAATGCCCCAACCCTCTGCTAGGAACCACAGAGCAATACCTCATATATAATTTAATCATAGAATATCACTTAAGAGAGAGCCTCAGAGAGTGACCTGTCTAGAGCCACTCAGCCAGAATGGCCTGGGTCTGCTGCTCCAAGGATCAAAGCCTGCAGTGCACCCCACCACACCTCCCAGCTGCCCCCCCATGCCCCCACCCCACAAAGAGCTGCAGGGATCACTATGTTCCAAAGGTGGGGTGTGAGGCTGTGTGGGTGGAGGCTATGGGGACTGGGAAATGTCCCTGTGCCAGGCAGGGAGGCCATTAGCGCCCTTGGAGAGTACAGTTTCCAAACGAGGGGGCAGAGCCCACGGCAGGGGGCACGAGTGGGCAACTGGAGAGGCTGCGGGCAGGGGAGGGGCTTTTGCCCGCTCTGAGCGGTTTGAGCTCTTTTGAAGTCAGCGGGGAGAGATGCGGTGCAGTGCGAGGGACTGTTTCACCGGAGTACAGAGTACAGAGAACTGATGATTCTGGGGCTGCCTCCTCAGTGCCAGGTCCCATATAGCCTTGGAACATTCACAGTCCTGTGGACCCCTCCAAGCAGCCCTGCTAGGGGAAGGAAGCTGAGGCCGTGGGCTGAAGCGCCGAGCCCCACAGCGTGCAGGGACCAACCGCTAGGCTGGGATTCCAACAACCCCGTGAGTGAGGAAGGGCTCCTCCCTAACAGGGCCTGGAAGGGGTGGGGGCTGGGGCCGGGGCTCCAGGGGCCACAGTGGAGCAAGAAGCTTGCTGGGAGTCTGGGGGGGGCGGGGGGGGGAGGCGGTGCAGGGGTGGGTGGTGCAGCGGGCTGGTCTAGCCCTGGGAGATTGTGTGGTGAGGTCACCACAAAGTGGCCACAGAGGTCCTCCCTCTCAGGGCTGGGGCAGGGCGGAGCACTAAAAGGCCAGTTCAGCTTTCACCCATGTCCCTGCCAAGGACAAAAGTGACTACTACTTGGGGATTATGTAGATTAGGAAGGACCCTTTTAGCTGCCATTCAAACTAGTTTTAGCAAAAATAGGGATAATTTGTCTCATTTAACTGGAAAGGTCAATGACAGCGGGAGTCTCTCTCAGCTTGCTTTCTTGCTCACTATTTCTCAGCCCTGTTTTCTTCCTGCTGGCTATATTCGCAGGTGGGTGTCGCCACTATTGGCAAAGATGGCCCTCAACCAGCCCCAGGCCCACATCTTGCCTGCCCAGTAGCTCCAGTGGAGCCTTTCTTGATGGTTCCAGCAATAGTCTCAGAGCCGACGCCCACGGGACTGACTTGGGAGACATGTCGATCCCGGAAGCAGTCTCTGCCTCGGGCCACCGACCCAGGACTACGTGCTCCCCTCGGGAGCCTGCCGTGGAAAAGCAGCCAGAAGACAGGGACAGGGACACCTAACCGTGGACATCCCCAGCACTGGGCACACTTCCTCCCCTCCAAGCCTGGGAGACTCCCCTCTGAGTCTAGCCCCCTAGCCTCCACAGCTGTAGCCTGAAGAACTACTTCAGACCAAATGACTTTAGGCCACAACCCCCGGAAATGAGGGTGCTAAGAGGGGAAGCAGGGAGAGCCCGTGGCGTCAAGTGACAGAGGACAGGCTTGGGTTCCCATCCAGACTTTGTCACTCACCAGCTGCACACCTCAGGGCAAGTCACTGCCCCTCTCTGAGCCTCAGTTTTCCCAGCTGTGAAACTAACGGCTGCCAACGTCAGCAGCACCTACTATGTGCAGCTGGCCATTTTAAGCACTTGCTCCTTTTTTTAAATCCTCAGACAGACCCTGTAAGGTAGGCACCATCATGATCATCCCTGTTTTATATAAAGTTGAAGAGGAGGGAGACAAGAAAGGTCCAGCAACAAGTCTAAGGTCACACGGTTGGCAAAGTCTGTGCCCTGTGCCGTGACAGCAGTGGACTTACCAGGAGCAGAGCTGACGTGGTCGGGTGGCTGGCCCCATGCCAGGGGCCGATGCCTGGGAAATGCGGTGAGCACTGGAGCAATGATGGGCACTCTTTTTTTTTTTTTTTTAAAGATTTTATTTATTTATTTGACAGAGAGAGATCACAAGTAGACAGAGAGGCAGGCAGAGAGAGAGGGAGGGAAGCAGGCTCCCTGCTGAGCAGAGAGCCCGATGCGGGACTCGATCCCAGGACCCTGAGATCATGACCTGAGCCGAAGCAGCAACCCACTGAGCCACTCAGGCGCCCAATGATGGGCACTCTTAAAGGAGTGCCTGGTTGCAACTTGGCAGAGACCGGACAAGGGCAGAGAAGGCTCTGCTGAGGCCAACATGTCAGCCTTAAAACCTTCCCTGAGAGCTGTGGAGAAGCACAGAATGGGAAGACAGGCATGGGACGTGGGGGAGAGCCAGGCTTTGAGTAGGAGGGGAGAGAATTCTCACCTTTTAAGCTTCCACCCAGTCACATTTTGTCCTTAGAAGTCATCAAAGAGAAAACTCAGAGAGGGGAAGCCTTTTAGCCAAGGTCACACAGTAAGTGATGAGCTTCTAGGTCTGAATCCTCCCTTTTTCTTGACCTTTGTACTCCAGAAGCCACTGGACCAGCCTCCCAGTGTGGAGGGGGACTTGTGCTCTAGCGATGGGAGAGACCCAATAAGTTAGTGATGTGAAGGGTGATCAGTGCTGGGAGTGGGAGACATGAAAGCCTGGTGGGAGGACCTCCAAGGAGGTCCTGAGGCCCACCCACCAAAGCTGGGCACCTGGGTTTGTTTCGGGGGTAGGATGTGGCTGAAGAAAGGCAGATTCACAGAGGAGAGGGCAATCAGTGGCCACCTTCCTCCCACTGACAAAGGAAACTGAAGACTATGATGGGGCCACTAAATTTGGCAACTTAAGGATCCCTAGTGCCCTTGGCTGGAGCAGTGCCAGGGGCAACAGGAGCAGGAGGAGATGGATTGCAGATCTACAAATTATAGGATGGAGATGATGTGGAGGGGTAAAGGGTAAGAAGACCAGAAGGAGTAGGCTCCAGGACCTGTAAGCAGGGAACCCTCTTTTCTCCCCTGAAAACAGAGAAAACGGGGCATGGGACATATGAGGACTCTGTACTATCTTTGTAATTTCTCTGTAAATTTAAAACTGTTCTAAAATTAAAAGTTTATTTAAAAACATAGATGGCAAAGAGGTGAGAGTGGGGTGGCTGGAGAGAGTTTGTAGGTGGCTGAGGGGAAGCAGGAATTTGAGGAAGGGAGAGCGTGCTCATTGGACTTCTCTTTTTTGGATGTGAAATTGAGTGAGCAGGAGGCTAGGAAGGAGGAGGTGGTGGGGAGTTCTGAGCTGGGACACGTCAAGGGAAGCAGAAGGGGAATGACGCCTGAGATCCCTCTACCTACCCCTCCCAGTCACCCCTTGGCCCTACTGTGGTCTCCTCCTGCCCCAGAATCCCACTGACTCTGCCCGGGACTTGCTTCAAGTGGGGGCTGTGGAGAAACTGCCAGGGCCAGGGGTCCATGGGCATAGTGGGTACAGAGCTCCCCAGGCAGGTGTCTATGAAATTCAGGGTACGTGAAGAGGTTATTCCTACTCTAAGCACTGGGACTCACTTCTGATCAACGTACACTGATCTCTTTCTCCTCTTGGTGTAATTGATTACCCAGCTCGGAACTCAAAGGCCCAGCTGGGGATCACCTCCTCCTCCATCTCCCAGACAGGACCAAGTAAGCTTGCTTGGTTCTGTCACCTCCCCCACATTAGATGGGGGTGGGAGGCTTTGTAGGAGGTAGAAAAGGCTTCTTAGAGCTAGGGAGGGTTTCAGGGTCCCACCTCAGCAAGGGGTGGAGATGTTCCAGGAGGCAGTGGTGCTCACTCCCTAATAGGGAACTTCTATGCTTGGAGCTTTGGGAAATAAAGGTGTGGGAGGCTGGTCCTGTATTGTCATTGGAGGAACCCTGCCTGGGAGTCTGGGGTTAGATGCTGCTTCTGGAACTGTACTTGGGATTCCTCTGAGAGGCCTGAGGCTTGGGAGAGAAGGCAAAGGAATGCCTAGGCTGGCCCCATCTGAGACAGCCCTGGGGGCAGCTAGTAAGGGAGGGGTGCCCAGAAGAGGGGTGGGGCAGGGATGAAGAAGAAGTTGGGAATGCTGGAGTACTGATCCAGGTTGGGGCTGGGCATGATCAAGGAGGCAGGGATGGAGGGGTGTGATTGGAAACTGGAAACCCCACGGGAATCAGGTAGGCTGGACTGAGGAAGGCGCTGCTAGAGAAGGAGTATGGTGCACCCTGTGCATGGGGTTGAGAGTAGGCTGGGAAAGAAATGGGTTGGATGTGGCGTGGAGACACAGGTGGCAGTGGATAGTGAGGGGGATGGTCTAGGAGTGGACCTTTCAGAAGTGGTGGGTATGGGCTGCTGATAGGCCATAGTGGCTGGTCCAGTTGGATTGGGGTTGGGGGTTGGGACACAAATGGATTTAACCTGGTTTGGGTGGGTGAGGCTGGGATGGGGAGAAACTTAAGCACGGAGTGGGGCTGGGCCCAATTGGAATGAAGTGGATTTGGGACTGGGATCAGCAGCTGGAAAGGAAGAAGGGTGACGCCGGGCCTGTAGTGGCTGCAGACCGGAATCACGGTGAGGTGGGGTCGCCGCGGGGTATGGGGCTGGGGGAAGAGGGTGAGCGCCCACGTCGGGAACACGGTAGGCGAGGGTTTGGGACGTGGGTGAGACGCGCCTGGGGAGCGGAAAGGCAGATCCGCTGCGGGGCGCGGCGCGCAGGGGCGCTGGGTGAGGGGCGTGGGGGCGCCCCGGGGCAGGCCGGGAAGGGGGGGCGGCCCTCCCCCTGGGCCGGGCCAGGGCGGCGCTAGGACCGAGCGCGCGGAGGGAGCGAGCCGGGCGGAGCCTGCGCCCCCCGCCCCCCGCCGGCCGGCTCCCCTCCCCCGGCCGCTGGCTCGCTCCGCTCGCAACGCTGCAGAGGCTTCGAGGCGGCGGCGGCGGCGACTCCTTCTTTCCTTCCCTCCTCCTCTGGACGTCCGTCCGTCTGTGCGTCTGTCCGTTCGGCCTCGGTCCGGCCAGCAGCATGGCCGGCGTCAGCTTCAGCGGCCACCGCCTGGAGCTGCTGGCTGCGTACGAGGAGGTGATTCGGGAGGAGAGCGCGGCCGACTGGTGAGCCCCCCGCCCCCGCCCCCCCGGCCCCTTTGTCCCCGCGCCGCCGCCGCCGCGCCTTTGTTTCCACCCGGCTCCGCCGCCCTGCAGCCAAGAAGGGAGGGGGAGACCCCGAAATGGTGCAGCGGCCCGGGAGGGCCAGGGAGGGGCTGCCTTTGTGCGCGCCGGGGGAGGGGCCGGGCCGGGCCAGGCGGGGCACTGCCGGGCCCCGAGCGCCCACAGGCGGTCCCAGTTGCGCGGTGGGAGCGGTGGCCGGACACCGGCCGGAGAGATGCAGGTTCCAGATGTGTGGCCCGGGGCCGCATGGCCCTGCGGGAGCCCATCCCCCGCCCTCTGCCCTCCCGCCCTGGGCCCGGGGGACAGGTGTGCACGGGGCGGCCAAGGGCACCTTCGCCACTTTCGAGCGGGCGAGGACCGGGCGGGGACGAGGCGGGGACCAAGCCAGCGGAGCCAGCGCAGCCTGCCTGGCCCGACCCGGCCCGGCCACAGCACAAAGGAAAGCTAGGGCGGGGGAGGAGCCGAGCGGGCTGGGGGCCGGGGCGCCCCGCCCACTGGGGGGCCTCTCCGAGTTGGGGTGTGATGGAAAGACGTTCATTGCCACATAGCAACCACCAAGCGACTCCTGTTCCCCTCAGGGGTCGCGGAGGAGGCAGAGATGAGTCCTCCTCTCCCCGACCCCGAAGGGGATTGCGGGGACTAGACAGCAGGGTTGAGAGATGCCACGGGGACTGAACTGTCTGGCTAGGTGGCCAGCTGGGGTCCCTGAGGCGGAGCTCTCAGGCGCACAAGTGTGGAGGGAGCCCCGAAAGAGGCATGAGAGAGTGAGTAGATCCAGTGAGCCCCTAAGCCTCGTGGCCCAGTGGCCAGAGGCTCTCAGCAACCTGGTGGGGGGAAAGCTGAGGTACCCTCTCCCCCTTCCCCAGAGCTGTGGGAGCGATTGGACCACCTGCTCTTGGGCTGGAGTCCCAAAGGTGGGGGGTGGAAGCAAAGGGGTCCCACACTGCCCCATTCAGGAATCCTCTTCTTCCAAAATACTCTGTCCTGGGACAGGTGCCCGTTCTGTTCTCTAGAACTGATCTTCTCTTGGGAGGTGGGAAACTGAGGCACAGAGTGAGGGTAGGTCTGAGGGACCTCACTGGGGCTGGCTTCACCCTTATCCCAGGAGGGCAGTTAGGTAGGGACACTGACCTGGGGGCTGGAGGCGGGGCAAGATGGCCAGGCGTCCATGCCAAGGTACTGCAGCACTGGCGGACAGCCAGGCCTGGAGGGATGGACGCGGGAGACAAGCTCTCATGTCCTGTGGGTCAGTCACAGGAGAGGCCAGCACAGGCTAAGCCGGCAGGCGGCCCACCCATTGTCCCAGCCCTGCCCCAAGGGGGCTGAGATCATGGGAGGAGTTCAGGGCAAGTGGCCAGCTTGGCCTGGTGGAGGAGCTAGGCTTAGGGTAGGGGCCTTGCCTGCAGAGAGGCACAGCTTGCCTTAACACCCCTCTCTCGCCCTCTGGTCTGGTGGTTACTGTCTACCATCACCCCATTTCCCTCTAACCTCTGGCAGCCCAGTGCAGGGACACACAGCCACTGCTGGGCCATCTCCTGCTTAGCTGGAGCCTGGGCTCCTACCTCCCAGCAGCATCCATGTGGCCAAAGCAAGTTATTCATCACTGGCATGCGTCACCCCCCATCTGGGTTGTGTGTGGGACACACACACACACACACACACACACCCTTGCACATACACACATTTGGTCAATCCTCAGGGCCTAGATAGCATTTTGTAAAAAGGGTGTGAGTGTCCCATCCTGCAGAGTGGGGCATGAGTGCTCCCAGTGCCCAGTACAGAGCCAGGGGTACAGTGGAGTCTTAAGACGCAGGGGCAGACCCTGCACTCAGAGACCAGAGGAGAGCATCTTGGGTACAGTTGCTGTCTTGGTCAGGGGCTTGGGCACTGCCCTCCTGTACCTTGCCTCCTAGGGGGAGCTCACTTCTAGGTGGCAGAGGCTTTGAAATGGACCGTTGCTCCAACTACTCACTGTGTTGACCACACACAAGGGTCTGCTCCTCTCTGGTCCTCTTGAAAAGAGAAAGCAGGGATGGGACTCTGCCCTATCTGGGACCCCCAGGGCCCTTCCAACTCCCAACATGCTGAGAGTAGGATTGTCCTGAGGGGTTCACCTGCCTTTGGTCCCCCCACCTCAGCTGAATGCAGGATCTCCCTGAATGCAGTGGCTACATTCCAGCCCCACCTCACCCTTGCCCAGTGTCCGTGGCCTGCCCAGTTTCTCAGAGTTGGTGTCAGTATCTTGGATATTTACGGGGGCTGTCTTATGCTGGCCCTGGGACCCAGTGAGTGAGAGGTGTCGACTGTCTGAATCAGCTATCTCCGCTTCACACAGCTTATAGTTAGAGGCATTGTCTGTCTCGAGGGGTTGAAGCTGAAGAGACATGTAGATTCCTGGGTCCCCCATCCTGATACCTCTGATGTGTTTGGAAGTGCAGATCTAATGAGATCTGGGATGGGCTCAGAGGTTTCTTGCCGTCTGTGCTGGGGTATGGTGGGTGTTCTGGGGAGGGGCAGCTTAGGGCAGGACTTCCTTGGGAGCTGGTATTGGGTGCCTGAGGGATTTCAGCGGGGGGTGGGGGAGGCCCTGAGGTAGAGAAGTAGGTCTGGCCCTTCTCTGGAGGGAACCACATAGCCAGAGGCTCTCTGGTGGGAAACTTGTCCACTTGTGTTTGGGATTAGGGAACCATCCAGCAATCCCAAGTGTTTAGTATGGATCTGGAGGTCTGGTTGGAAAGGCGGGCAGAGGGCAGAGGTCAGGATTTGAAGGCCTGCTAAAGGCTTTGAACTTAGGTATTGTTTCTGCCAAGCAAGGACTGTGGCAGTTAGCAGAAAAAGTTGGCCAGGGGTGGGTAGGCAAGGGTTAAGCGTGCAAGGGGTCCTTGGCAGGGCTGGTGTTCCTGGCCCTCAGAGAGGCTGACAAGTTGTCCCACGGGGGGTGTGCTACCTAGAGCAGTGTCTGGCAACCAGGGTGTTTGAGTTCTGCCTCTGTTTCTGGTCTGTGGAATGGAGAGGGGCAGACCCCTGCTTCTCTGAGGGCCCTTTGTTCCCAGTGGTGGTTAGGGTAGCCAGACAGGTGGTGGGACAGCTGTGCTGAGAGGCAGCTGCCAGGGTTGGGGCCCAGGCAACAGTTGGACCAGGAGCTTCCCAGCCCCACAGCCCACCTGTGTCCCTTTCCGGAGAGGGAGGGCTCCCGGAGAAGGGGGGTGGGGTGGGGGCTGGGGATCATTTGGCCCTGACAATGACTTGTGCTGACCTCATATGAGACTGAGCCAGGCCCTCCTTTCCTTTCCTCCTCCCTCTCTCCTCCCTCCTCCTCCTTCTCCTCCTCCTCCACCCCCCTTCCCTCCTCTCTCTTCCCGCTTTCCCTTCCTCCCCCTTCCCTCCCTCCCTCTTTAATTTTTCTCTTCATCCCTTCACTTCATTCCTTTCTCTTCTCTTTCTTCGTCCCCCTCTCCCAGTTTCTCCCTCCCATTCTCTTCTCCATCACCCTGTCTCTCCTTCTAACCCCCACCCTCCTCTGCCTGTCCTGGAAGTAGGAAAGGAAACCATGTGGAAGGGGCTTGATACCTCCTGAGCCTCCAGGACAAGGCCCTTCACCCTTGCTCCACTGGGTTCCCAGGAGGAGACCTCTCTGCCTTCCCTTCCATGAAATGGGTGCTATGCCAGTGCCGCTGGGAGGTGGTGGGGGAGGGAGCCAGGGCAGAAAAAGCTAGGGAGGAAGAGGAAGGAGGAAGGCTCCTAGGGTCAGCTTTCTGGTGAAACTAAGGCAGAAGGAAAGGCCAGCACTCCCAGGAGGCCAAGGCCTCCTCAGCTCTGGCAGAGGCCTGGGGCTGGAAGGCCAGGAGAACATTCCCACCGCGGGTCTGAGGCTGGGCAAGAGTGATGAGAGTGACTGCGGTGACCTCATCCCCACTTCTGAGAGGCAGAGGTTGAGGCCAAGGGCATGTCCCCAGGGTCCTTTGTGTTCAGGAGAATGTGGCTAGGGTGGGCCAGTCATTTGCCAATTGCCAAGGTTGTCATGGTTACCAAGGGATGCCCAGCAAAGAGAGCACCAGGTTCTCCTCCCCCTTCCTTGCCTTGGGGGGAGGGGTGGTGGGTACTGAGAACACGCCAGGTAGGTTCCCCGCGCCGGCCAATGGGGGCTGAGGATCCTGGTAGCCAGGGAACGGTAACCAAGGAACCGTCGCCTTGGAGTCTCCATCTCACACCCGCTCACTGGGTTGTAGGCTGCCAGGGCCCGAGCTCTGAGAATGGGACACATGGGCTCCCTCAAAGCCAGCAACCAGGCAGTGATTTCTGCCCCCTTGCCTACTCCCCACCTGACTCTTGCCTCCCTCTACCAAGACCCAGGCTGCCCCCAACGGGGCTTCAGCCAGAAGTGGCGGCCTGGGCCCTGTCAGTTCTCTGAGCCATCCCTCCCTCTCCCCAGGGCCCTGTACACATATGAGGATGGCTCAGATGACCTCAAGCTCGCAGCATCAGGAGGTAAGAATTCCAGCCATTCCTCTGCCTTCCTCTCCGCCCCCTCCTCCGGTTGTTTTCTTTCCCACCCTCCTGGCTCTGGGCCATCTCCCTGCCTGCAGCCAGCGGACCCACACTTGTCTGCCTGTGTCCTTCCTCCAGCCATCCCAAAGATCCCCACGGTAGGGAGGGAGGGAGCCTTGCTTGCTCTTTGATTATGAGAAGACTGAGCTTCAGAAACGGAGAGCGACTTGCCCAAAGTCACACAGCTAGGAGGGAAGGGGCCTGGCAAGGATGGCCCAGATCACATCCACTTTCTCCAGAGCCCAAGAGTTTTATTTTACCTCACTGGGCATAGCACTGTGTGAGAGGTGATGATGTGCGAAAAGTGAGACATGGGATGTGTGAAGAACAAACACTTCCTTGGTCCTAAATCGGGCCCTGGGAGATTCAGACAAAGCTTGCTGCTGCCTGTTGTCCCTGTCTCACAGCAGCACAGAGCTGTGGGACCTCCAGATCTCTGGGTGTGCTTGCAGAGCCCATGAGAGGAGTCTTTCCTTCGGGTTCTAGGCCCTTTGCAGGGCAAGGGTTCAGGAGATGGGGAGTCTGGCTTGATACCCTCCTTATTCCCCCAGATGGGGGTCTGCAGGAGCTTTCCGGCCACTTTGAGAACCAGAAGGTGATGTACGGCTTCTGCAGCGTCAAGGATTCCCAGGCTGCTCTGCCCAAATACGTGCTCATCAACTGGGTATGCAGCCATGGGCTGGGGACAGGAGGGAAGGCCCCAGGACACTTGCCCCTCTCCCCACTTCACCTACTGATGCCACCAGAAAGAGCCCCACTAGTCCCTGGGGAAGAGAATCCAGGGTCTCAGGCTGTTGCCCCCTCTTGTTTTTTCCCAACCCCCTCTTTGTTGGGTACTTTGCAGGTTGGTGAAGATGTGCCTGATGCCCGAAAATGCGCTTGTGCCAGCCATGTGGCTAAGGTGGCTGAGTTCTTCCAGGTGCGAGTGGGGCCAGGACTTGTGGGGGCGGGGCCAGACCCCCAGGGCAGCGTCTCTCTGCTGGTGGGGGTCACGGGATGGAGCCATGCTACCTGAATACACCTTCCTGCTGCAGGGTGTCGATGTGATTGTGAATGCCAGCAGTGTGGAAGACATAGATGCGGGTGCCATTGGGCAGCGGCTCTCCAACGGGCTGGCGCGGCTCTCCAGCCCTGTGCTGCACCGGCTGCGGCTGCGTGAGGATGAGAACGCTGAGCCGGTGGTCAGTGTGTGCCTGGGGCAGGCCAGCCCTACTAGGGCTTCCCCTGCCTCCTCTGTGCCTGTTCATCTTCACCCTTTTGTGAAGGGGAGCTCCCAGAGCACTCAGCTCATTTTCCTCACTCATGCCAAGCTATTTGACTCTGCAGGGCACCACCTATCAGAAAACTGATGCAGCTGTGGAAATGAAGCGGATTAACCGTGAGCAGTTCTGGGAGCAGGCCAAGGTGTGGACCCCGGCCCCAGCTTTCAGGCTGAGCTGCCCCTCCTTGATCCCACCCCAAGGGACAGATCTGGCCTCTGTCCCCAAGTCCCTCGCTCATGTGTCCCACCTTGTGCGTTACCCCAGCTGAAAGAGGGAATCGTTTTGGCTTAGCCCATAAGGCGTAGTTCCCAGAATCTTCCAGTCCTAGGTCGGGGTGGGTTGGAGGGGTGGGGGTGGGCCCCAGCTCAGGGCCTGCACTGCCTTGGCGTGGGGGGTTGCAGAAGGAGGAAGAGCTGAGGAAGGAGGAGGAGCGGAAGAAGGCCCTGGATGAGAGACTCAGGTTTGAGCAAGAGAGGATGGAGCAGGAACGGCAGGAGCAGGAGGAGCGGGAACGGCGCTACCGAGAGCGGGAACAGCAGATCGAGGAGCACAGGTTGGCCCTGCCCCACCTTACGCCACCTGCGCCAGGCCTCGTGCGGACCCACCCTAAGGTGTGCATGCCGGCTTATCATTCCAGGAGGAAACAGCAGACTTTAGAAGCAGAGGAGGCCAAGCGGAGGTTGAAGGAGCAGTCGATCTTTGTAAGTTTCTAGCCAGGGCTCGCCATCTTCCGGTGAGAAGTGAGAATGGTCCCTGTGTGCCTGGGCCTTGTCAGGAGGTCTGGGAGGCATGGTTATCAGTGGCTTGGGGACAGTTCTGGGTGTTCGGAGTACCTCTGCATGGGCACAGAGTGTCCCAGAGTATCAGGCCGGTCACCCAACCATGGAGGTCTCTAGTCCCTGGCTATGGAAAGAGACCTCCTTGAAGAAGCTTATTCTGTAGACTGAAAGAGAAAATCTACTCTGACCCAGACCCTCACTGACCAGCCCCCCCACCCCACCCCTCCTTGGAGCCTAAGAGGCTTGGGGTGGATTAGACACACTTACTGCACTTGGGGGGCTGGAGGCCCGAGTCCCACTGCAGTTGTGCTGCAGAGCCACATGACTGAGTTTGGGCCAGCGTTGGGAGCATCTGTGCACACGTGCTTGTCGTTCGAAGGGTGCTGTCTGGCCTCCACACCTTGGCGTGGCCCACAAAGTCACACTGGAGTTGAGTCTTCATGCTTTGAATGGAATTTTGTATTTCGGAGCTGAGGTCATTCAGGTGGGAGCATGGTAGAGTTCCGACTGGGAGGTGGCCAGTTATCTGGCTGGGGCTGTGCTGGCCAGTTGTGCCATGAGGACCCAGACAGGAGGCTGGGAGGGCGGAGGCCAGACAGCCCTGCAGCCCCTGGCTGGAAGTGGCTGTCACAGTCCATTACAGTCACACCAGCCCTGGTAGTGGGGATGGTGAGTGGATAGTGAGCTCCAACTTTAAGCGTTCATTAGGTGGGCAAGACTTTTCATAAAAGTAACCGATAAAGCAAGTTTATTTTAAATGGTGCCAAAATGTCCGTAAAATGTGCCATCTTGACCATTTTTAAGTGTACGGTTCAGTGGCATTAAGATTCCCAACAAATTCACTTTGTACAACTGTCATCACTATTTATCTCCAGATTTTTTTTTTCAATCTTCGCATATTGAAACTCTGTCCACATTAAACACTCAATCCTCATTCTCTCCTCCCCCAGGCCCCTGGCAGCTGCCCTTCCGCTTTCTGTGAATTTGATTACTCTTAAGTACCTCATTTGAATGGAATCGTGATTTTTTTTTTCCTTTCGTGACCAGGTTATTTCACTTAGTACAGTGTTTTTAAGGTTCATCCACGTGACAGAATGTCTTCCTTTTTTTTTTTTTTTTTTAAGGATTTTATTTATTCATTTGAGAGAAAGAGAGAGACAGAGAGTGCACGCAAGCAGGGGGAGCAGCAGACAGAGGGAGAAGCAGGCTCTCCACTGAGCAGGGATCCTGTTGTGGGACTCAATCCCAGGACCCCAGGATCATGACCCGAACCAAAGGCAGATGCTTAACCAACTGAGCCACCTAGGCGCCTCAGAATGTCTTCCTTTTTAAGGCTAATAATATTCCATTGTATGTATACCCACATTTTGTTTATCCATTCAAAGCAAGGTCACTTTGAAAAAGCTTATTTTGACAGAAAATTTCACACACACGCACACAAAGGCTGATAGACTAGTACGGTGACTCCCTGAAGTGATCACTCTTCAGCAGTTGTCAGAGTTTCAGGAGAAGTCTTAAAGTCTCGTGCCATTATTAGTCTCATCCAGCCCTTCAAGTGTGGCTCATATGATAGTGACAATGGATGTTCTAGGAGGTCAGTGTGGTACCTTACAACTTCAGGCCCTCTTAAGAAGGTCCCATGTGAGAACTTTGGAATTTAGAACCATAAAATGCTTTCCTGTTGCTTAAGCTGTTGTTCTGCTTTCTTTTCTCTGTGAAGAATTGCCTGGCTGGTCTGAGTTCCCATTTTGCCTGGGCTGCCAGGGAGCTCTCATGTATCTGAAAATGCTAGGGCACAGCAGGGCTTTTGACCCTATGATTAGTGTACTGATCTCACTTTCCAACCCGTAGCCCTAATTTTCAATGTTTCGCTCTTTGTTGGTAGTTCAGGTTTTGTGGTGAGCTTGCCTCGAGTCCTTTTTCTGAATGAGGCAGAGGAATCCGGTGAGATCTCCCAGGCAGGGCTGGAATACCAGCAGAGGCTGGTGGGATATAATTTATGGGAAGGCAAGGGGCCTGACTGGAGCCCAGTGGGCTGAGGAGCAAGGGAAATTTGATTGAAGGAGAGAGCTAGGTAGGAGGAGGACTTGAGATCTCGTTCTGGAAGACGCAAAGCTGTGGTTGGAGTGACAACTCTTGAGGCAGGTACTTGGAAGGGTCATTTTCTTAAATTATCCTGAGAGAAAAGCTTAAGTTTTAGGTTATGTGCGCAAAACACAGAAGCCCTGTGACTCCCCCACCTTACCTGCAGCTTCTTCCCCCCTCGGCCTCAGCCCCTCGTGCCCCATTTGCCACACTCACGGCAGGAGCAGCACTGGTCCAGAAGCTTGGCTGTCGTGAGTTCGGTTGAGCAAGCACATGCCACTGACATGTGCCACCACATGCCGCTGGCCACTGAGACACAGATCTGACTGCACGGTCCTTGTCACACACGGAGGATGGGGCAAGGATCCCAGAAAAAGGAAGTTAGGATACAGTGTACTCTGCAGTGTGTGCCTGGACCACCTCGTGGAGACCCAGAAATGACCCAAATAGGCTAGGGACCTCTTCCCCAGAAGGCAGTGTTCCTGCTGAGGCTGGAAGCGGGAAGAGTTGGACCTGGCGTGGGAGATGGGAATTTGGGGCAGGAGAGCTTGAGCTCCTGTGCGAAGGCGTGGAGGGGGGAAATGGCGTGCCTGTTCCAGGAATTGTGACCACATCATGCTACAGGGTGTGTGGGTGAGTCAGGGCAGGAGGCGGGTGTTAGAGAGGTGACAGGCTAGATCAGACAAGGGGAAAGGGGATGTGAGACAAACAAGGGGCCCCATCTACCTTTACTTCTGGGGTAGCAGCCTCAAAACTGCAGTGTAGTTAGCTGGTACAGTGCAATAGGGAATGGTGGGGACTGCAGTGAGTGGGACAGCATGTGCCTGGGGTCAGGGTCCCTGCAGCGCAGCTCTGGCCAATAGTTGCTTTGGGGTGTGTCCATTGTGGCGAGGGCTTCTGGCATTAGAAGAGAAATTGGAGATCCTGATTTTAGTATGAAACTCCTGATTTTTAAATGGTAGCAACTAATATGTTTTTAAAATACCATACTGGCAAAACAAAAGCTGTCTGTGGGCCGTACTCAGCAAGTACTCACTATAATGGTGATGTTGAGCTAGAAAAGATCCTGGTCTGATGTGGATTTTGGAAAGATCTTGTATGAGAGGAGAGCGAGGGGCAGGTGACTAATGAGAACGCCTTGGTCATGATGCCAGGATCAGGGCAGCAGTGATGGGGGGTGTGGTTGACTGGGTGCTGGAGTAGGAGGCCCAAGAACACTTGGGTATAAAGCAGGGAGCACTCCTGAATGGTCCTGGATGTCTGGTTGGATCTGGGGGTGAAGGAGCAGGAGGAGCTCAGCCGGGTACCCAGGGGCCTGTCTGAGCTGGAGATGAGGTGGCCCGGGGCCTTGCAGGTGGAGAGAAGGGGCTACGTGACCGGCCGGTGCAGGGAGCCAGAGGTGCCACCATCAAGCCCCTTCCTGCCAGGTTGTGGAGAAAACGTGGGGCCTGTAAGGAAGCCAATAGCTCAGAGGGAGTGGAGTACCCAGGACACTGTCCGTTTGGTTTCCAGGGTGACCAGCAGGATGAGGAGGAAGAGACCCAGATGAAGAAGTCTGAATCAGAGGTAGAGGTGAGAGCTGGGAAGAGGGCGAGTGAGGTGGGCGGGGCTTGCCTCCTCTGGGCCTGCCCTCACCCTTCCTACGTGCCCCTAGGAGGCAGCGGCCATTATTGCCCAGCGGCCTGACAACCCGCGGGAATTCTTCAAGCAGCAGGAAAGAGTTGCATCGGCCTCTGCAGGCAGCTGCGATGCACCCTCACCCTTCAACCACCGGCCAGGTAGTCCCAGGTCCCACCCCCACCTGACCCCAACTTCTCAGGTTTGGGGCCTGAGCCTCTCTGCGACTCTTTCTTGGAAGGGAAGCCTTGCCCAAGGACCCCTTGGAGAAGGCAAGGCCATTCACTGAGTGTGCTTTCACCCACCAGTTCCATGGTGGCAGGACCAAGAGGGGCTCAGGCCCGGGTCGGTGTTGGCCTCGGCTGAGCAGTGGGCAGTGCTGGAGGTCGTCTGGGCAGCTCTGGCATGGGCTGAGGCACCCCCCTGGCTGCAGGGAGCTGCCCCACTGGGGTTGAACTAGGTCTTGCCTAAAGGGCTGCGGGTGCATGTGGGGCAGGCTCTGACCCTAGGCCTGAGTTTAAGCAGCCTGGAACCAGCGCCCAGCGCAGCTTCCACCTCCCTCCACAAAGCACCCTTCCGCTCCATCCGCTGCTCTGTGTGTTTGCCCCTGCTGTGTGCTTGGCCCTGTGCTGGGGTTCCAGGGGTGGGGCCTGCTGTCCCGTGATGCTTAGAGGCTGGCTTGGTGTGGCAAGCTCATTGCTGTGCGTGCCTGGCGCTGGGGGGGAGTCATCTGATGGCTTGAGGCTGTGGCCTAGTGTGGCTGATTGTGTGCCCTAGCTGAAGGCACTTTGGACTTCTAGGGCCAGCTCTGGGGGCGGGTGAGGCCTTGGGGCGGGGGTGGGGGAGACTGACCCTCTCTTGTCCTCTGTCTCTCTCTGTCTGTCTCTCTCGGCAGGTCGTCCGTACTGCCCTTTCATAAAGGCATCGGACAGTGGGCCTTCCTCCTCCTCCTCTTCCTCCTCCTCCCCTCCACGGACTCCCTTTCCCTATATCACCTGTCACCGCACCCCAAACCTCTCTTCCTCCCTCCCATGTAGGTAGCAGCCCCAGGCTTCAGTGGGAGGGGTAAGGAGGGCCCCGCTTCCCAGCAGTGCCCCCACCCTCACTCCCCTAGCCTGACGGCTGATCTCTGGTGTTTGTCCCCAGAGCAGGTACTACCTGCCTCTTTCCCTTGGCCCTGAAGGGGCACTGGCCCCAAGGGGCCTGACTTATAGGATCTGGAGCTGTGGTCTGGTCCCTGAGGGGCCTGGGGGGGGCTCCCAGCCCCCACACAGACTCCACACAGGAGGTGCTGGCCAGACCCCAAGGTGGACAGTCCTGGTCCCACCTGGCTCCCTGGCCCTCCCTGACCAGCCTGGGGCTTTGTTTCACAGGCAGCCACCTGGACAGCCACCGGAGGATGGCCCCTACCCCCATCCCCACCCGGAGCCCATCGGACTCCAGCACGGCTTCTACCCCTATTGCCGAACAGATTGAGCGGGCTCTGGATGAGGTCACATCCTCGCAGCCTCCACCACTGCCACCGCCACCCCCTCAAGGTGAGTGAGGGGCTACACCCTAGCTGCCCTGGGGCTCCCACCAGTCCCTGGGCTGGCACCCTCATGTGGCCATGGTGACAACTCAGGGATCTGAGCCCTCCGCCGCCACCCAGAGTGTCTTGCGGTGGCTGTGGCCAGGAGGAGCCCTGGTGTTGCGGTCCAACCTGCTGTCTCTCAACCTCAGTGGTTCTCCCTGCAACGGGGATCGGCCTTCCTCCTGGCGCTGCCGAGCAGATTGAAGACCTGAGGAGATAAAGGGGGCTGCAGGGCCCAGGGGGTGTGCTGGAAGGCGCTCTGTGTGGAGCTCTTAGTGGAAGCCTTCAATTCTGGAAGCCGGTGACTCCTCAGTGGGTGGGCTGAGTAGAGTAGGGTGGCTGCCCCAGCCTGCGTCCTTTACCAGGATGCTGACTACATGCCTATCCTCCATGTGTGCTCTGACAGAGACCCAGGAGCCTGGGCCCAGCCTGGATAGTGAAGAGACCAGCCAAGAGGCCAGAGCAGCAGTCCCTGAGTCCTGGGCCAGCCCCACGGAGGAGCCCCCACAGGCACCGGAGCCTCCCCTGGGGCAAGGCAGCCCCACGGAGGACTTGATGTTCACGTCTCCAGAGCAGGCTGTCCTGGCTGCCCCTTTGGAATCTGCCGTGGCCAACGCCGTCGCAGCTGACGCCCCGGCCGCTGATGCCATTGAAACCGACACTGCCGCTGCTGACACCACTGTTGCCCACACTGTCACCCCCGCCACGGCCAGCCTCATTGACCTATGGCCTGGCAATGGGGAAGAGGCCTCCACAGCCCAGGCTGAGCCTAGGGTGCCCACACCTCCCTTGGGTGCCGAGGTCACTCTGGCAGAGGTCCCCCTGCTAGATGAGGGGGCTGAGGAGCCACTGCCACTGGCAGGCAAAGGCTGTGCCAATCTTCTCAATTTTGATGAGCTGCCTGAGCCGCCAGCTACCTTCTGTGACCCAGAGGAGGAAATAGAAGGGGAGCCCCTAGCTTCCCCCCAGGTCCCAACTCTGACCTCGGCTCTAGAGGAGCTGGATCAGGAGCCAGAGCTGGAGCCAGAGCCAGAGCCCCACCTGCTGACCAATGGCGAGACCACCCAGAAGGAGGGGACTCAGGTGGGGCAGGGACAGCCTGGTGGAAAGGGTGATGGGAGGGCTTCTGGCAGGGGGTACATCATTTCTCTGCCACCCACATTATTAGAGGGAAGCTCCATACGGTACTTCCTCCTTGGGCCTGCTTTGCTTTTTTGTCGAAGGCAGGCATATGTTTCCCTGGAAACCACTGATGGAATCACTGGTTGCTGGGGAAACAAGCTCAGGCCTGGTAGGTCAGCCCTAGTCCTCCTGGGTGGGACTCAGTGACCTGGAGCTTCTTCCTGCAGGCCAGTGAGGGGTACTTCAGCCAATCACAGGAGGAGGAGTTCGCCCAATCGGAAGAGCTGTGTGCAAAGGCCCCGCCACCTGTGTTCTACAACAAACCTCCAGGTGAGTACTGGGGTGGGAGATGAGAGGAATTCCGGTAGGGGGGCTGGGTTCCGGTGTGAACATGCGCGCATCCACGCACACAATCGGTTGGCGGTGCTGGGTTCAAGTGTTTGCGCACACACACAGCCACGGCTCCCAGGGGTTGGGGCCGTGGATCTGCCGGGCCTTAACTCCTCTCCCTTCCCAATATCACAGAAATCGACATCACCTGCTGGGATGCAGACCCAGTACCAGAAGAGGAGGAGGGCTTCGAGGGCGGTGATTAGCGGTGGCGCCCGCCCTCAGGCTGCCCTTGCCAAGGCCGCCCACCTGTGCTGGCCTCTGGCCAGACGGCCCGCCGCGCCTGCACTCGCAGCAGCTCCGCCTGGCACCCACTCCGGATTCCGGCCCTGGCCCGGGACTTGGCCGCTTCCTTACCCACAGGGCCTGACTTTTACAGCTTTTCTCTTTTTTTTAAAGTTGATAGGAGACTTGTACAGTTGACTGGTTTTCCTCCCGTTGGTAGTTGAGACGCTGTTGCAAATTCTACCCCGTCCCCGCCCGGTCCAGATTGTAGCTCTTAGTCCTCCCTGCTCACTCAAGCTGGCCGGGGTGGAGGCCTCACCCTACTTGGGGCCTGGCGTCGGGGGAGCTCTGGTGGGAAAATGTCCCACCTCTTTTCCTAGTTTTATGTTTCTTGGAAAAATATCACTTTGTATTCTCTGTCCAGGGCTTCAGATATTTTGCACGAATTTTAAAACATGGCAATAAATGGCTCGTGGGCTCTGGCTCCCTGGAACCCCCTCCCCGCCCATCTCTTGACCCCTCCCCGCCTGGCCCAAAGGAAGTAGGCCCAGCTGGGGCCCCTCAGCTTCCAGGCCCTTTCCTGCCCCCCTCCTGCTGGGCAGGTCCCAAGCTGGAGGCCCTAGGCGCGGATCAGGTCAGGGCTATCAGTGGGGCCCAGGGCTTGGACGGCCCCTCCCCAACTCCTCCCTCTTTGCTTGGGTTCCTTTTTCACGTTCAGTAACTGTTTTTTGGAAAGCACAAACTTCTGTAACGGGTCGTGCTCATGTCTGTTAATAAAGAAATCCAGATCCCTTCGGGCCTGCGGCTTCGGGCCTCTAGGGGCAGATCTTGGGTGTGCCGCCTGCCCTGACCCCAATTCCCAACTCTTCCCACCTCCAAGGTCACTGGGGCCACCCTCACCTTGATCTGATGGGCAGGAAAGGTAGAGTCTGGGGCTCCCAGGGGAAAGAGCCTATGAACTTAGCACCCTCAGGCCAGTTTGTAGCCAAAAGTTGCCCTCAGGTTCTGACCCACCAAGGCCCAGGCACGCCTGGCTACCAGAACCTTGGGCTCAAGCAGTGGGTGTCCCCTCCGCTTGTACCAAACCAGATCACACACCTTTATTTTCCTCAAAATGTAACAAACGGGGTAAGAAATCCCTCCCCCCCCCCCCCCGCAGTCCAAGGGAAGCATTTAAAAAGCCCCGCAGTCAGGCCACAAGTCCGTGCGGGTGGGGCCCAGAACGCCGGGCGCCCCTCTATACGGCTGTAGTCCTCCCGAACAAGGGGATGGAGACCGGCAGACGCCAAGCTCCATGCTCCAGCGGCTCGCGGCTGCTGAGCTCGGAGTCGGTCCAGCTGGGGAAGACCCGGCGGCCACGGTCCGCTTGCAGACAGAGCGCAGGGCAGGGTGGCGCGGGCCGTGGAGCGCTGGGCAGGTGCAGTGCCGACGTGTAACCCCGGTCCAGGAAGAGCGGCTTGTAGCTGGGCGGCGGCTGCTCCTGTTTCTCCGAGCTATCTCGGCGGCTCAAAAAGGGTGTGACGATCTTGCGATAGAGGCCGCGCGTGTCCGTGAGCACCTCACTGTAGGGCGGCGGCGGCTCGGCCATCAGCACCGCCTCTTCATAGCACGGTGGCTTGGACATGTCCGATTCCGCTGCAGAGCAGGAAGTGGTCCGAAGGGTGAGGCCCCCGGTCCCCCTACGGAGGCCTTGGCCAGCTGCCAACCCCAGGCCCAGCCCGCTTCCTCCAAGATACCCAGAGGCTGTCCAGTGGAAGCCTCACTGGTCAGCAGCGACCCCGCCCACCCTTAGTGGCCCGCGTTGCAACCCCACCCCCCCGGCGGAGGTCTGGACTTACCTTGGCGTGGGTAGCTCCAAGGCCTTGGCGGCACCGCTAGGTGCGCCGGCGGCGGGTGCGGAAGCGCGTGGTGGTGTGCGTGCGGGTGTGCGTGTGGCTGCGCCGGCCCGTGGTGCAGCAGAGGGTGGACGTGCACGTGCTGATGAGCGTGCGCCGGCGCCTCGAGGCGGCCGCGCTGCGGTGGCGGCGGCGGCGCCAAGCCTGGGGGGCTTCCAGCCAGGCTGCCCTCGAGCTCCAGGGGTTCCAGCTCGAGGGCGCGCAGGTTCTGCTCACGTAGTCGCTCCTCCTGTCGCCGTTTGAGGCGGCGACGCAGAAAGCTGCAGAAGCAGCAGAGTAGGACGATGAGACCCCAGATGAGCCAGAAACCGGCGAAGCACGTGAGGAACGTGTAAGTGCCCTGGGACATAACCATGGCGGCGGCTGGGCGGCGGGTCCTCGGCTGCTTCACTGGACACTGGGCTCCTCTGCGTGGCCCCGGGCCCGCGCCACGCTCCCAGGCGCCGCCAGCGTCACTCGGGGACCTGCGGCCGGGGGCTGCCCGCGGCGGGGCTCAAGTCGTGCGCGCGCCGGCGGGGGACAGCAGCAGCGGCGCCCGCTCCTTCCCATGGCGCCGGTGGGCGCGCGGGCGGGCCTCACGCAGGGCCGCGCGGGACCTGTAGGACAGACACAGGGCGCGGTGAAGGCGCGCTGCAGTCCCGTACGACTTCCCTGACCGCTCCCGTGCCCTGCGCAGTTCCGGGGAAGCCTCCTCTTCGGGAACCCCCGCACTCCCCGGGGGGCCGCTGACGTCACCGGGGAGGATGACGTCACACATCGAGGTTTCCCCGGTAGGGTTTTCCCGGATCTGAGATTCGCCACCGCTGCCGCTGCCGCGCTAGGGGACTCCAGGCGCACCAGCAGAGGGCGTGCGAAAGCCAGACTCAGCCTCAGTGGGCGCGCGAAGTTCGCCACTCCAGAGGGTACCACAGTTCGGAAAGGGTTTCAGAGGCCCGTGGATAGACCCCCAGGGCGCAGAGGAGGCGTCTCGGCGGGCGGCCCACCTCCTACAGCCCCACAGTCCGCCACTGACGCCCAGCTTCAGCCCAGTGCATACGCCTTGCAGCCCCTGGCACTCTAGGCCTTGTACGCGCTCCTACCCTTGGCCACCCAGAGCATGGAACATCCAGGCTCGCACTGCGGGCTCCTGGCTGTCGCCGCTCTCATAGAGGGGGCTCAGGCGGGGTCGTTCCTGATATTACTGCGTGTCACACGCCTGCCTTCGTCTGCACCGCCAGGCGTGGGCCGTTCTTTCTTTTCCTTTCCTCTAGGCGCCTCCGCCTGTCACATCCCAGCTCCCAGCTCCATTTCCCCACCCCCCCTACCAATTCGCAGCCCCACTTGGACCTACCCTCCTAGCTCCTGTGCTTCGTATCGCTTCCCCTCAATCCCTTTCCGTTTCTGCAGAGGGTAGGAAAAGTAGTTCGTTTGCTTACTGTATCACCTGGTCTCTCATCACTCCAGATGGGCACGTCTAGTTCTGCCTCCTCCTCTCCACAGCCAGGGTTTAGAGGGGAACCTTGCATCCTAAGAGGTACGTAGGAGGGAACCCTGACTGCGGAGTGACGGGTGGCAGGCGACTGTTCACCACCCCTGCAGAACAGAAGTGTGCCCTTCTTGAATGCCTTCTAACTATCCAGGGCTTTCACATACAACCCTTTGGGGTAACTATAGTTATTCATATTTTACAGATGAGGGAGGGGGGAAGCAATTAAGTGTGTAAATGGCAGATGGCAGTGCCTTAATTTGAACCCGAGCCTGGCCACAAAACCCTAACCAGGGGTGGGAGAGTACTGCTGCTTGAGCTACTCTGTGGGCCTCTTCCAAGAGCCCCATGGACCCCCCTCCCTTCGTCAGCATGTCCAACACAAACACACACACACACACACACACACACACACACACACACACACATTTAGCTTTGGGGGCCATGGTGGGCCTGAGCCCTAAGCAGGGGTCTCCACATCAAGCTGTCTCAGACTGTTCTGGTAACAGGCTGGGGGGAAGCCAGGCCAGGGGCCACCCCACACTTCTCCCCAGATGGCTCCTGTTTGATTCTGTGGCTGCCTTGTGCCATGTGCCACTTGGTCCCCGTGCCAGTCCATTTCTCCTGGGCCTGTGTTCCAGAACAGACAATGACAAGAACAATAGCTCCACCCGCCCCCTCCACAACCCTGCCATGAAGCTGCCATGGCGACGCAGCCCGGATGAAAACACGATGCTGCCAGTCACTGGGAGTTAATTAAATCTGTTGTTCTCCTTTTCCTGAGCCCACAAGAATTTTCAGGAATGCTCTGACGAAGCTGGCAATGACTAGAGGGCCCCTTGGCCTGCACAGCAGGAACAGCTCCAGGTCAGAAAAGGTACTTCTGGGGCTGGAGGTGATGGAGTTCAGCTGAATTAGAAATAGAAATACCTGCCAAGAACTGTCTACTGCATGTCAGGCCTTGTTCTAGACCCTTTCCTTTCAGAATCTCATGTGATAATGTAATACCACCTGCTCAGCGGGGGCCCATTTGACAGATGAGGAGATAGGCTCTTACAGAGAAACAACCTGCCCCAGGTCCCACAGCTAATAAGGGGAGGAGCTAGGATTTAGTCTAAGTCCAGAGTCTGTCAAGATACCTTCCCTTATGTGGCCACTGGGGTGTAGATGAAGAGCCCGGTGCATGTGAGCACTTGGTATGTGAAGATTTGACAGCCACAGAGACACTGGGCCACCCGGCTAACTTCTAGGCAAAACGCACCTTCCTGTTCCTTCCCAGCAAGACCCTGGTGCTTCTGGCCACCAGCCCTCAGCTCAAGAGTAGGAAAAGGTTATAGGGTGGAGAAACAGGGTGGCAGCTCCAAATTTAACAGGGAACAAAGGGCAGACCGCCCTGAGGTAGTGGGAGCATTAGGGTGTGTGGCTGCAGGCCACATCCAGGACCCCCTAGGTGCCAGTGTGGCTCATCACCAGGAGGCAGGACCCACTGCCATATTTTACAGATTAGGGCGCTGCAGGTCCGAGAAAGGAAGGCTCTCTGATGTCACACTGGTACCAATACCCAATTTGAGTGGTCAGGGGTTTGATGCTAAACACTCCCTCCTGGACTACTTCACTCCATGGTGCTCTGGCAGGCCCAGAAGGCATGAATCCTGCCTGAGGCCTCCCACCTGCCTTTGTCTAGTCCACAGGAGTTGCTCAGTACATCTCATCTAATCCACAGTTTGTGCTCAATACATAAACATCAAGAGAGTCATTCAGACCTTTCCAGAGGCTCTTCCTGACAGGCCAGGCTTCTCTAAGCTTCCTCCATGCTTCTGTGCATGTTCCTGCCTGTCTAGGGAGCCCTTCTGCGCAGACCCCACCTGAAGCCTCTTACTCACAGCCACAACTTCCCCATCCCCTCCAGACTGTCCAGAGCCAATGCTGCACTTGTCCAGCTCCAACTGTGTGCTAGGGGTGGTGCCTTCTGATGGATTCATCCTTAAGCCTGCCATTTTATGATTGGTCTCTTCATTCTCTTTCCTTACCTTCTTGCAGGTTATGTGAATATTTTTTAGGATTCCATCTTGATTTATTTGTAGAATTTGTGAGTGTATTGCTTTGTATGTTTTTTTTTCCCTTTTTAAAAAGATTTTATTTATTTGACAGAGAGAGAGAGAGAGAGACAGCAAGAGAGGGAGCACAAGCAGGGGCAGAGCAAGAGGGAGAAGCAGGCTTCCCGCTGAGCTGGGAGCCCAACACAGGGCTCTATCATAGGACCCTGGGATCATGACCTAAGCCCAAGGCAGACGCTTAATGACTGAGCCACCCAGGCGCCCCTCTGTATGGTTTTCTTAGGCCACATGCTCACTGGGAGTATAGCGGGAGGACAAAAATGAGATACTAGGGGATGAGTGTCTTAAGCCCTATGATGCTAGTCTCCTTGTCAGTGACCATGGTGAAAACTGACCTAGTTCATGCCAAGGATTTGGAGATGCCCAACAACGTGAGTGTGGATGATGGCGGCTTCTGAGCTGGGGATACAGAAATGTGTAAGTCCTTACGGCACTCTGCCTAAAGGCCGGACATCACAAATCATTCTCAGGAATCCTACAAACTAGTTAGCATTCCATTTGACAGATGAGAGCACTTAGTTCCCTGGGACTCAGTGGTACCCAAGGTCACACAGATTTCTTATTCTGGGGCCTGACACACTGCTGGGGGCACCTACCACCTTGTTCCTCTGCATGAAGAACCCCACCACTCCAGTCTTAGACCCCGAAGATCTGTTAAATCCTTTATCTCAGTAAACGGCCCACCATCCATTCCATCCACTAAATCCTGGTCTTTTGCAGGGCGCCTGGGCAGCTCAGTCAGTTAGGCATCCAACTGTCGATTTTGGTTCACGTCATATCTCAGGGTCTGAGACTGAGCCCTGCATCGGGTTCTGTGCTCAGTGCAGAGTCTGCTTGAGAGTCCCTCTCTCCCTCTACCCCTCCCCCTGGTCATGTTCCCTCTCTAAAATAAAAAAAAATCTTAAAAAAAAAAAAAAAGTAAATCCTGTTCTTTTTATGCTCAGTGCACTGTGCCTCCGTCTGTCTACTTCCTTTTGTCCCCCAGCCACTGCCTTGGCCAAGCCACCATCATCTCTCACCTGGGCCCCTGTTGCCATGTTTGCCACTGCTCTCTCTACTTCCATGCTGGGCCCCTGCCCAGCCTACCCACTTTCCATGTTGCCCATTTCCCCCAGGCCCTCTCCTGCCTGAGCCCTCTGGCAACTCCCCACCACTTCAGGAGGCAGCCCAGCTCTTTAAGACAGTTTAGATGAAAAAAAAAAAAAAAAAAAGACAGTTTAGATGGATGCCTCTCAACCTTGAATGAGCATGAGAGCCATAGGGAGGGCTCGTTAAAACAGAGTGTTGGGCTCTGCTCCCAGTGTTTGGTTCAGTAGATCAGGGTTGGACCTGAGAGTTTGCATTTCTAACAAATTCCCAGCAGATACTAATGTTGTGGTCCAGAGAGCACACTTTAAGAACTGACCTAGATCATGGCTTCTGGGATGAGTTCCTGCCAAGGCATCTGCAGCCTCACCTCTCAGTGCCCTTCCCTCTGCAACCAGCCCGTGTTCCCATCCTAGCTGCTCAGAGTCCTGCTTTCTTCCCCCCGAGGGGCCTGCGACACAGCCTCAAAGCTCTTGCCCCCACACTTCTCACCTTCATGGCCTCACTGTAACTTTGCTGGACAAGTCAGCTCCAGGCCACCTCACTCCCCGGGTCGGATGAGAAGCCCAGGGATAGGGCAGTGTGCTCTAGCTGCCTGTGCAACTCCAGAGGTGGCGTCTGTCTTGTCATCTGGCATGTAGCCACTCCAACACCACTTGTTGCCCAGTTCCCTGTTTGGTCTTTTAGCCGTAGGA